TGTGAGTTTCACACACTGCGCGCAGGTGGTGGAGAGGGGGGGGGGAAAGCAAGCTGGGGGGCAAAGCAAAGCAAGCAAACACAAACTCACGTGGCCAATGCGGCAGTACGTGTCCTTGACCTCCTTGTGCAGGCCGGCGGCAATGATGATGTTCTTGGCGACCATCTTTGGCAGCAGGTCTCCTGCCTTGATGCCCTGTGTGTCGTCGTCGTCACACGCGCGCCAATCATCAGCCAGCGCATCTCGCAGTGTGTGGGTTGCGTCCCTCCCCCCCAGGAAAAAGGAAGCTCCACAGCTCTCCCGCTGGCTTGCCGCTTGCGCGCCCGCCCAAAAACTCACCTCGGGATACTTGACGGCCGTCATGCCATTGGCGCCGTCCTTGATGCCGTCGGCCACGAGCTGCTGCAGGCCCAGCTTCGTCACAAAGTCCTTGACGCGCCGCGACGCCGCCTTGTGCAGCGCGAAGCGCTCCTCGAGCGACGGAGAGCGCGTCGTAATGGTGGTGAGCGAGGCGTGCAGCGCGTAGAGCAGGTTCGTCGGCGGCGTGCCAAAGTAGGCGCCAGTGCTGGAGAGACCAGGCCCACCCCCCGGCGAAAAGTCAGCTCTTGCTGCTGCCGCTTAGTCGAGCAGAAGAAGAAGGGGGGGGGGGGTGGGAGGGCCCAACACGAACTCACCCGCTCTCATACGCCTTCATCACCGGCAGCCACTTTGCCCAGCTGGCGTAGTAGGAGTTGGGGCGCTGCTTGCGCGCCTCAAACTTGGCAATGGCCTTCTTGCTTGCGGCGAGGATCATGAGGCCGGGCGGACAGCCGAGGCCCTTCTGGCTGGCCGTGAGGACCACGTCGATGCCCCAGTCGGCCATGCGAATCTCCTCGCTGGCCACCGAGCAGACGCCGTCGAGCACCAGCACCGTCTCTGGCGAGACGCGCTGCACCAGCTCGCCGAGCCCCTTGGCGTCGGAAAGCACGGCCGTGGATGTGTCGACGTGCGTAAAGGTGAGCACCTTGTACTTCTTGGCCTTGAGCGCGGCCTCGACCTCGTCGAGCGAAGGCTTGGAGCCAATGGCTGCCTTGAGCTGCGTCACCTTGGAGCCGTACACTTCCAGGCACTCTGCGAACGCTGCGCGAGCGGGCGAGGGCGGGGGGGCAAAGCACGGCATCAGTGACGCCGACAAGGCGCAAGGTTCCGGCCGCGCGCGCCCCGCTCTGCTGGGCCGCTTACACTCACAATCGCCAAAGTAGCCCGAGTTGAGGACGAGGACCTCATCGCCCGGCTCGCACACGTTGGCCGCCACGTGGTCCCAGCCGAGGGTGCCGCTGCCGGCGGTGATGACGGGCTGCGCCTCGGGCGCAAAGAGCACGTGGCGCAGCATGCGCAGACAGTCGCCAAAGACGGGGACAAAGTCGGGCGACACGTGCGACATGCTGGGGTGCGCGTTTGCCAGGAGCACATCGTCGGCGACCTCGATGGGACCGGGAATCACAAGCAGCTGAAGAGAGAAGAGGTGAGTGGTGGGCGCGCGATGCCAGGCGCCAGGCCTCACCTTGTGCGGACCCTGCGTGAAGGCCTGAGGCTGCGACATGGTGGTGCGATGCCGCAGTGTGGAGGGAGTGGAAGGCGTGGGCGAGAGGTGGGCGGCGAGCTGCTGGGTGCGAGAGACGGCCGTCGAGGCGCAGGACGGCGACGAGGGACCGGCGAGCGGATATGGCGGCGCAGAGGGCATGGTTGTGGCGAGCGAAATGAGGAGGCAGGGGACGTGGCAAGGAGGGTGAGTGTGAGGCGGGCACACGTCAGCCGAGCACGGCGAAGCTTCGCGCCGCGGGGGGCTTGACGTGGCGTACGCCGCGGCGGCGCAGGGGCAGAGAGGCGCGCCGAGTCGAGTGTGGGGCAGACGCCGACAGCAGCGCGCGGCGAGCTCGGCCGCCGACGCGCGCAAGCACACCATTCTTGCCGGCGCGCCGCTGCGGCCGGCCGTACGCTCCACATGCGCCCGAGCGCAGAGCCTCGTCGCCCTGTCATCCACAACGCTGCCGCAGCACAGGGTCGCGCCAGATGCCTTGCCCTTGCCGCAGCGTGCGAGAGGAGCAGCGACGTCGGGACAAGGGGGGCGCCACGCGTGCAGGCAGCGCGCGGCCGAGATGCCGCCGCCGCCGCCTTCGCGCTGCCAGCCAGCCGCCTGCGAGCCGCGGCTCATCCCTATGCTGCGCCGCACGAACGCCGGTCGGCGCCTGGCCCTTGTGCGTTCACACACGCGCGCAGCCACGCCTACTCACACGCGAGGCAGCTGTGACGATGCGGGATGAGGAGCGCAGCGAAGGAGCCAGGAGCAGAGCTGGCATGCGGATTGGATGGTGGTGGAGCAGCGCAGAGGGCGGCAGCGTGCGGGGGGAGGCGGGTGAGGCCGTGCGCAGAGAGGCCGCGACGATAGGCACATCGCTGTCGGCGGCACGCCAGCAGCAGCGGGCAAGGCGGCCGGAGGCGTCAGCGTGCAGCAGCAGCGAGGCGGCATTAAGCCGCGCGCGAGACTGGCACGTGACATCTCCCGCCTCGCTCCTTTGCTTCCCCTCCCCTCCCTCCCTCGCCCCATGTCGCTCTTCTGTCCCACGTGCGCCAACGGCCTGCTCATCAGCAACGACGACGGGCAGAACAAGTGGGCGTGCCAGACGTGCCCCTACGAGTTTCCCATTGCCAAGCAGATGACGACGCGCATCACGCTGCGCCGCAAGCAGGTCGACGACATCATGGGCGGCGACGAGGCGTGGAAGAATGTCGACAGCACCGACGGTGAGTGAGCGGCGCGCGGCAAGAGAGAGGGCAGAGCGGCAAGAGAGCGCACAGACAGACGCAAGGGGGCGGGCAACAGAGAGGAGACGCAAAGAGCAGCCAGCCAAAGCGAAGCCAGGGCGGCAAGTCAGACCATCGATGAGACGGAAAGAGCAGCCACGTACAGGCCAGGGCGGCGAGTCAGACCATCGCACGTGCCGCCCAACTTGGCGAGCTGCGCACTCGGGAGGGAGGGGGGGGGGCGAGCTCTCAGCAACCAAGGGTGTGCCAAGGTTGCCTCACTTCGCTCCAAACGTCCGCGACAGCTGACACAGGCTTGCCCGCCTTCTGCTCCCTTTCTTCTTGCCCAATTCGCCGCACTTCTTTACTGGCACACACAGCGCCCTGTCCCAAGTGCGACAATCCAAAGGCCTTCTTCATGCAGCTGCAGATCCGCTCTGCCGACGAACCGAGTGCGTATATACAACACACACACACACACCCCGGCCCCGCCCCCCCCCCCCCCCCCCCCCCCCCCCCCGCCCGTCTCTCTCTCTCTCTCTCTCTCCCGCTCCATTGCTCGCTCGCAACGCTTGCATGCTCGGGCACGTTGAACTGACCCTCTGGCGTTTTTTACGCACCCCCACACAGTGACGACATTCTATCGCTGCACAGCTCGCACTTGCGGCAACCAGGTGCGTGCGGCCCTTGTCTTTGTGGTAAGTTGGCAATCCTAGAGCTGTACTGACGTCCCCCATCCCAGTGGAGAGAAGGCTAAAGCTCGCTCGCTCACAAGCCATTCGCGTCGCATCGTCTTTCGAGGAGCAGCTTTCCCTCGCAAGGCAATAGTCGACGAGTGTCTTCATGTCGCGCGCCGCGCTCAAGGCTCTCTAGCCGCTCTTGCGACTGCCGCACCCCTTCCACCTGGCCCTCACAGCCCAAAGTTCGCTCGTCAGTGGGTCTGTAGATCCATCTCTTTGCCCTCTCTCCCCTCTACTCGCATCCGTTCCAACGCGTCACCGTCTAATCAGAATCCGCATTCCTTTCTCACGAGTAGTGGCAGCAGAATGCGTGTTGCTGGTGCCCGGCGCAGCTCCCATCGTGGATCGACTTTGCACCCCCAGCAGCAGGCACCTCGATCCCTGGCGCCCTGGCCTTGCAGAGGATCGCTGGCGTTGCACGCTCTGTTTCGCTTTCTGCGCTCCACCACGCTTGTGCAGGGGAAGACTTCGTCGCCGCCCTGGGCTGGACCTCCATGCCTCGCGCGGCCCACGAACACTGGGCGTCTGGCCCACCTCTGCCTGCCTTGCTAGCGCACATGATGGCAGAGAGAGCTCCTCGACTCCCAACCCAGAACTCCGCTTCGCTAACACAAAGCACGAGCTCCAGCGGAGCTTGAGTCTGAAGTGGTGGACACGCGCGTGGCTCATGGCCCCGCGTGCCCGGACCCGCGTGCTGCACGCAGATCGCTGCGGAGTCGCCAAGGGGCGTCCAGAGCAGCCCAGAGCGTCACGCGCGGAGGCGTGCCCACGCTCGCACCCGCAGCGTCGGGGCGGCGGAAGGCGTGCCTTGCAACCTCTCCCCAGCAGCGCAGAGCATCAGAGCTGCCAGCTTGCTCTGCCGTCCATAGCTGGCGGCGTGCGCGGTGCCGGCGAGTCGTTGCGACGTATTCGTCGGGCGGCGCGCTTGCGCTGCGTTTGCGCTTGCCTGCAGCCTGCAGCACCGTCGGCGTCGACGCGTCGACGCTTGTGCTTGCGGCGCATGAAGCCCCTTGCCTTTGCCTGCAGAGCCGTCTCACGCCTTCTGCTTGCCTCTGGTGCTGCGGACCCTTCGTGCTTACATCCTGCACGCTGCAGCTGCATGCTGGGCAGCCTTGACGGCTTTGCAGAGGCGCGGAGAGGGGCGGACGTGCGCGCTCATGGGCATGCGGCGCTCAGCGCCTCGCCTCGTCAAGCGCTTGGCGGCGCCGAGCCTCAGCTGTCGTACCGCCGCCTGCCACGCCTACGCTCGGAACATCTTTGCGCGGACGCCGGGGGCCGGTACGTTCGACGCGACAGCGATTGCGAGAGCGGCGCGCTTCCTGCCGGCTGCTTCACGCAGAGCCAAAGCAGCAAAGACCCCCGCCCCCTCCTCGCGCCTCGAAGCGCCGTCGGGCGCACATTCCTCTCGCTCGCTCCTCACACCTTGCGGCTTGCCCGCAGCCGCTTGCACCCTTGCGCGCTAACGGTGGCGAGCGGCGGCCAGCGGCCCAGAGCGCCACGATAGCCGTTGGTGCCGGCCTGCGGCTGCGGCGAGTCGCGCGTCCGGCACCGGCGGAGCGGCGTGCGGTCGGCTCGGCGTGGTGCCGCAGCAAGTCAGAGTCGGAGTCAGTGCCCGCACCTCAGCACCGTGCAGCACCAGCCTGCAGCGCCCACGCCCCATCGACCCTCTCCCACGCTCGCAGCCATCCTGACTCGACTGCGCAGAGGCGCGCGCATGTCAACCAGCGCGCAGACTCTGACTTGCCCCGCTGCGCTCTGATTCTGCGCTCTGCAGCTGATTCTGCACGCTGCATCTGCACCCGCACCCTCTTCTGCCGAGCTCTGACAGCGGGCAAATCGTGCTCTCCAGCTCCGCCTGCTGCTGATGCTGCGCCGCGTGCGGCGCGCGTGCGGGCCGAGCGCGCCGCTGCCTCTGCCATCTCTGCAGCGCGCCTGACGCCGCCGCCCGACGCCCTTGCCTCCAGAGCATGCCGCCGCCGCCGCCGCCATGCCTCGGCGTGAGGAGGCAGATGCCAGACGGAGGCGGCACGGCGTGAGGTCCGGCCGAGCGGCGCCTCATCAAGGCGCTGTCTGGTCCATCTAGCTCGAGCCCTGGCCTAGAGGCGGCGATCGGGAGACGCGAGCCAGCTGGAAGGGCACGCGGCGACTGCCTGCTGCTGCGCTGGCGCTGCTCTCTCAGCGCTCCCGCCGCACTAGCGACTCTCACTCTATAGACTCTCACCTGCTGCCAAGCTGAGCAGATGTAGCTCCTGTGCTGGGCATGCGCGATGCTGATGGCGTCGCCTTCGCTGCTTCGGCGCCGAGGGACGTTCGCAGCCGCACACACGCAGCGTCGGAGCTGGCAGCTGCTGCCGTATCTGCTTTGAGCGCAATTTCAGCCCTCTCTCCCCGGACAGCGCTCGCGTCAGCGCTCAGGCACCAGCCGCCCAGCAGGCAGCGCGAGCACGGAGGTGCGCTGCACTGCGCTGCGCTGCGAGCTGCTGGGCAGCCGCTCGCCGCGACACGCAGCAACCGCGCAGGCTAAAGCTCGCCCCTTGCCGCACCACCGGCCGCGCCGCAGCGCGCGCAAGGGCCCCTCGCCGCCCTCGACTGCGGCGCTGCCGTGGAAGCCAACACGCATGGGCGGCGGCGGGCGCGGGCATACGCACGCCGAGCTTAGGGTGTGGCCGCAGCCGCAGCTTGCGTCCGCCGTCGGGCTGCAGCGCGCAGCAGCACCATGCCGATGCCTCGACGGCCCGCACCGCCCAAGGATGAGGACCGGCGGCGGTGGCACGAGCGGAGTGGCATGTGCCGCTGCACTCTCGCGTCTGCTTGATTGGCGGCATGAGGGGGCGGCGGCAGCGATGCGATGGCCGCCTCTTGCGCTCCAGCCGCCGTCGCTGGCGCGCTCCGAGAAGACGGCCCACGGGGAGGCGAGAGAGGGAGAGGACAGCCGCCGGCACCGCCACCCGGCGCCCGTGCTGCCTGCCTGCGCTGTCCGGGGTGCATCCTCATCCCTGGCAGTGACGCCGCCAAGCTCGCCGCTGCCTGCCCCTCGAGTGATCCTCCCGACCGCCGCCATCCTCACGCTCTCGCTCGTTGCAGCCTCGCCTCTTGTCGTGTGTTCGCTGCTCGCCGCCGTCTCTCCTGGCACCTCTCCGACGCGCCGCTCTCGCTCGCGCTCTCTCTCGCACTCCACACTAGACTGCGCCTCCAATTCACACTCCGCCCCGCACGACGCCTCGCACCCCGCCTCGCCGTGACGCTCGTCGTCGGCCAGCGCCATGTCCTTCTCGAGCGTGCCGGTGGCCACGCCGCGGCGCTCGTCGGCGGCCAGCGGCGGCCCGCGGCGCGCCAGCACGGCCATGGCGCCGAGCAGCAGCGTGTCGCCGCCCTTGGGCTCGTGCTACGGCGGCGACGGCGTGCGCAGTGCCTCGCGCGCCGGCAGCATCTCGACGCTCTGGAGCTCGGCCGACATTCCCCTCTTTCTCGACCAGCGCAGCGGCAGTGCCGGCAGCCTGACGCACGCCGGCTCCTCCTTCTCCGGCGGCGGCCGCGTCGGGAGCATCGTCAGTGTCTCCAGCTTCGCCTCCGGCTGGCAGCCCATGGCGCGCGGCAGCTCCAGCACGGGCGCCTCGTCGGGCGCCGAGCGCGAGCGCCTCTGCCAGCGCGCCCAGCTCATCGAGGAGGAGGAGGCGGCGGCCGAAGACGCAGCGGCGCTCGCCTCGATGGCGCGCGCCTCGTACGCGGCGCCGTCGCGCAGCCAGGAGGCCAGCTACGCGAGCTTCTCCTCCGCGTCGTCGCTCGAGCCGCGCGACTCTGTGCCGGCGCTCTCCGTGTCGTACGCCGCCTCGTCGCGCCAGTCCTCCATCGTCACTCCGACGACACCGACGTTTCCGGCATCCGCGACGCTCAGCGCAGACTCGCCACGCACGCGCCTGCAGAAGCAACGGCCCTCGGCACTGCAGCTTGACGGCGTCCGGCCAGCGTACCGCGACATCAGCGCTCCTTCCATGCCCGTGTCCGTCAGCTACGGCAGCCATCTGACATGCGGCAGCGGCGGCGCGACGCCGATGCGTGCCAAGGCAAGTGCCAACAGCCTCAGGAGCGGCGCGATCCTCGAGCAGAGCTCAGCCCCGCCGCTGCCTTCGCCCGCTCGCGCTCCCGTCGAGCACCGGCGGCGAGTGACGCAACCGTCAAATGCTCAGCTCTACGCCCAGGCCGAGCAGTTCTTCCAGCCAAACTACACCATGGTGACGCCCCCTGCGCCTGACGCGAGCGAACGCTCGAGCGACTCGCCGCTGGTCACGCCTGTCCGACGCTCCCGCCAGCGCCAGTCGACGTCCACCTTCGAGACGGACGACTCGCGCGGCATGCCGTCGCACGACGAGTCTGGCAGTAGCTCGAGTGCCTCCGTCGCTTCCTCGCACGGTCCGCGCGAGCAGGAAGACTCGGGCATCGTGATGAGCGACTTTCTCTCCAGTCTCGACGCGTCGCGCCCGACCACTGCTCCCGGCGCCACACTGTTCGGCCGTCTCGGAGACGGCAAGAGCCCCTCGCCCGTCTCGTCACCGCTGCGTGCGGCTGTCAAGCTTGCAGCTCGCGGCCGGCCGCACACTGGCGATGCGTCGGCGCCGTGTGTGCCACGCAAGATCTCCTCGCGCACGCAGGAGCTGCGCAGCTCGGCAGCCGGCGACGGCAGAGGCCTGGATGGCCCGTCAGCGCCGGAGCGCAGCTTCGCTGAGCGACCCGGCTCCAGCGGTCGCGAGCGATCGGTCAGCGCTCGTCTGCGCAGCGCCGTTTCGACGCCTCGCCTGCGGCCGCTCAGCAGCGGCTGGCGCTCGCGCCGCGACGAGGTGGAAGTGCCTGCGCTGCCGAGTCCTTCACTCCACAAGACTGCACCGAGATCTCCTCCTGCGCCGTCTCTGCCGGCGCCCAGCCTCTTGAGCGGCAGAGGACGCTCGCACACCGTCGGCGAGGCTGAGCGGAAGCCTGCGGGTCTGAGCTTCGCCGACCTGCCTCCGCTGCCCTCGCGCAGCCCAGCGCATGCGAGCTCGGCGCACTCGGACTTGCCTCCGAGTCGCCTCCGCACACCCAGCCGCGCCGACACGACGGCCAGCTCGGTTGCCTCCTCGATGCGTTCCTTCACTCAAGGGCCCAACTCCTCGACGCCCGAGCTGCACCGCGGCATGCGCTCCTCGTCGCAGACCTCGGCAGCAACCAGCACGGCTCGGCCAAAGAGCAAGGGTGGCTGGGCTAGCCACCTGGCGGATGGCCTCACGCTGCACATTGAGCACGAGGGCCGCATGCAGCTCGTCAACATGAGCTACCTCTACTACGACCCGTTCGGCAAGGCCGAGGACCTGTGCAGCTCTGAGGCCGCCTCGCTGGCACCTGGACAGCGCTCGCTGACGCCCAAGCGGCCAAAGTCGAAGGGCGGCCGCGATGACGGCGAGGAGCAGATTGGCACCCTCGAGTTCGAGCTGCTCGCCGCTGCAGACGTGGCCGCGACGCTGGACTTTGCAGCACACACCGGGCCAGTCCTGCGCCACCTGACGATTGGCAACGACAAGGCCGATCTGCTCACGCGCCAGGCTACGCTCTCGCTCTCCGCAAACGGCACGAGCGAGGTGTCCGGCAGCGAGCGCAAGGGTCGCCTGGCATGGCGCCTCATCTACAACGTCGAGGAGTCTAGCCAGCGTGGCAACAAGGTGAGCTTGAGCAAGGCTAGGCCCATGTCGCCTTTGGCGCTGACCTTGCCTCCTTGCAGGTGCTGCGCCCTCTGAAGTTTTCTTGCTCCGCCACGCTGCTGGACCCGCTGCGAGCACGCAAGGGCCGGCTGCTTAACATGGTCCGCAAGCAGATCTTTGCGCCGAACCTCGCGTCCATTCCCGTCATTGGTCTGCCCGCGCCGCAGCAGCTCGCTGCGCAAGTCACGTCGCCGTGCTCCTCGACGATGGACGACTCTTCCAGCACATCGACGGGCTCGGCATTCCGTGGCTCGAGCTGCACTTCGGCTCAGCTGAGCCCGGCATACAAGGCAGCCTACAGCGAGCCGGCACCGGACCGCGACGAGCCGTACGCCGGCCGGCCATCGACTGCGTCCAGCAGCAGCATGTCCTCTCGCGCCACCGGCTCGGCCTCGTGCATTGAGCGTCTGCCGGGCCTGGCAGTCCCGGGCAACCTGCCTCCGAGCCTCGTGCCATTCAAGATGTCGCGCAGGGGCCTGGTCGGCCGCGCGGCCCAGAGCCTGCCCTCGAACAGCCCGGGCCACTCCATCGTCTCGCTGCCCGCCTCGCCGCTGGCCGCTTCGCATCTCGGCCGATCCGCCGCACCGCCGTCGCCCGCCAGCGCCAGCTTCAACATCGTGCAGCGTCAGCCGACCTCTGCTGCCTCGGCTGCACCGCCCACGCGTCACCTCGCTGCACCGCCCGTGACGAGAGCGCGCGGCGCGTCCCTCGGCGAGGCGAGCCGCAAGGAGTCAAACAACGCAATCGCTGCGCTCCTTCCGCAGCTCCTGCCGGCATCTCCGATCGTCGCCAGGGGCAGCAACGACGCGGAGCCGCAGCTGCGTCACGCGCAGAGTCGACGTGACGTGCACGTCTTTGAGAACGACGCCAGCCCCAAGTCTATGCCGGCTCGCAAGCGCGCTGCGACCAGCGTCAGCTCTCGCCCGCCGACGGCCAGCGAGCAGATCAAGGCTGCCTACCTGGCCCGAGGCACATTCGCCCACCATGCGCTCGAGCAGGCGCTGCGTCCTGCCTCGGCCTCGACGGCAGCCGAGTCTGACATCCTCGCCGGGCCTCGTCACCCCTCGCTTGCACGTCTGGCGCCCAAGCAGGCGCGGCCCTCGACGGCCGATGTGCTCTGCGTGCCTCGCGCCGCCGCCGCCGCCGAGGCATCGACTGCGCCATGGCGTGCCTCCGTCGGCGCCCGTGCGCGCCCGCAGCGGCCGCCGCTCGACACGCACCACTCTGATACCCCCACACCTCGTCTGCACGCCTCGCGCCTGGCCGAGCCCTTCCGTGCGCTCGACGACCAGCGCAGCCCTCTTCCCGTCAACATGGCGCAGACTTGGGTCTGAGCGCCCCCTCCGCATCTAGCCCCGTTCTACTTTCTCCTTCACGCCGGACCCGTCACTTCATACCCTGGCCGACGCGTCCCACGCTCCGTCATCTTGGCTTGCAGTCTGATCGCCTCTCCCACATACACACATGTCTCACGCGCATTCCATCTGTAGCATGCTTTACACCACGGACAGACCCGTCAATCATCCTTTTGATCCGCCTCGTCGCCTGTCGCCAGCAGCGAATGCCGGCACGCCATCGCAGTAGACTGCCAGCCGGCTGGCCGCACCCTGCACGCCGCGCAGCCAGCGAATTTCGAAGCGCGAGGCAAGCAGGCCTTCTGCCAGCGGCGCATTCCACACTGCGGCCACGCACGTGGGCGAAGCCATGGGGTCGGCGGCGTTCTCCAGATGCACGAGCAGCAGTGCTTGCGAGCTGCCCAGCGCACGCACGAGCGTCTGCTTGCTGAAGCCGGCCGATGAGCACAGCACGCCGATGCCCGCCTCGTTCATGTGTCTGCTGCCGCTCTGCTCGAACACGCGCCGGCGCTCCTGCTCTTGCCGATGCAGCGCACCCTCCAGCTCGCGCAGCACGACGGGGCCGAGCTTCTTTGCCTCGGCCTTGCACTGGACGATGACACGCAGCCGCTCGTGTGGCGGCGCTTTGCCTGCACTGCCCAAGCCCTCGTCTGCGTGCAAGCGCCACGTGCCGCGATAGAGCTTGTGCTTGTCTGAGGCTGTCCCTTGCGCATTGATATGTGCGCAGATCGTTGAGAGGCGGCCGCCGACGGCAGCAGCGAAGGCGGCTGCCGATGGGTACGAGCGCGTGAGGCTTGGCTCCTTGACGTTCGTGGCGAGCAGCGGCCTGGCGGCGTCGCCAGCAGCAGCAGCAGCGCCCGGCAGCGTCCACCAGCCGCGCAGGTCCACGCCGCCGTCGCCGGCGCCGCCGACGCGCATAAGTGCCATGCCAAAGACGCTCTCGAGGAAGGCAGCCGAGTGCACCTCAAACGCAGTGCCGCGCGCCGTCGTCGAGAGCGGCGCGGCGGCGTTCTCGCTGCTGCGGGCGGCGCGGCTCGAGCTGAGGCATCGGCATGAAGTGAGGCGAAGCGCTAGAAGGACAGGTCGCGCATATCCGCCCCGACTCAGGGCCGCCAAGGGACGGGCAGCGGTGGCGAGCATGCCGCCGGGCGCAGGGTCAGGTCGCGAGGTGACGAAGCGTCGCTTGCGCTGGGAACGCCTGCAGACGCACACGCCCTCGCCCGACCGGAGCGCGCCGGCCACCGTGAGCGCAGCTGGAGTGCGTTGTCCCGCGTGTCTTGTTTCGCCGAGGCTTCGACGAGGTCGGGTGTTGCTGTGGTGTGGAGAGCAGATGAAGCGCGCGGGGCGCACGAGCACGAGGCGCCAAGTCGCGCGGCCGAGCCTCGAGATGCTGGTCCCACGCTGCGGCGCGCTGGCGTCGCCCTGCACCTGCGCCTCCAGGTGCCGTCGCATGATATGCCGTCGCTGTCGAGGTCTGGCATACATACAGTACGTGCAGCCGGCAGGGAGAAGCTTCGAGCCGCAGTGGGAATCTCGCCTGCGCAGCTGCATGCCGAGGTACGGCGTCCGCGCCAGCGTCCTCGCCGAGTGAGGCGTGGCGCGACACGACGACGTCAGCGGGTCTCGCAGGCGTGTCTCACCATAAGATGCGCTTGCCGCATCTCACCTCGGCCTCGCAGCGTGCAGTGTTTCGCATGGCCGAGGTGCCGACAGCTGCGACAAGGGCTCGTGGGACATTCTCAGTCAGGCCTGCGAGCTCGGACAAGAGCCCAAAAATCGACGCTCCATGGGCGGGCGCGGCGCGCTCGGTCTGCAGGACGGAATGCTCCAAGAGCACTGTCTTCCATCCAGCCCAGCTCGCTCGCGCACGGCGCCATCACGGGGGTAAATTGTATGTGGAACAGTGCGTGCTCATGAATGTGCGAGGCTGGAGCGACATCGAGGTCAGGCGATGAAGATGAAGTGTGATGAGGAACATGTCGAGGGTATGAATGCGGAGTGGTGTTGTGTTGCGAGTGATTTGTGCTTGACGATGTTGAGTCGGGTATGCACCGTGCCAGGGGTCAGGGGTTCATGTCGTGTGTGCCTGTCGGTGATGGGGGTGCATGCGGCACAGGGCGATGCTTGCGCGAAGATCGGGCAGACGCAGCGGGCGGCCAAGAGAGGGCTCACATCATTCGTCCTCGTCTGAGCTCTCCTGGCTTGAGCCTTCGTAGCGCTCGTGCACGTCTCTCGCGAGCTGTGCGATCTCGCGGAGGGGCCCGGGCAGCTCGTCATGGCGCAGCGTGCGCAGCAGCGCCGGCGTGAGGTCGAGGAGCATGGGGCGGAGAGACTGGCAGAGCTCGCGATGACGAGCGCACTCGTCCGGCGTGGCTCTGCGATCAAGATGGAGATGCAGTGGCAGAGTGGCGTGCACGGCCGCCTCCGCTTCGAAGGCATAGCGACGGCGCGCAGCGCTGAAGGCAACCTGCGCAGGAAGCTCGCCGAGAGCCTCCAGGCGACTGCGTAGCTCACGCAGGCGACCGACCCGCCATGCCGACGGCGAATCGATCTCGAGAAGACCGAGCAAGTACTCGACGTGTGTCATGAGTAGGACAAGCTGCGGGCTCGGCGTTGCTCCCAGGTTCTGGCGGAAGATGAGACGCACTTGCGCATAGAAGTAGTAGGCCGCTGAGATGAACGCGAGCGGCAGCAGTTTCGTCGGGAGCGGCGTTTCGGCACTGTCCTGGTGCCAGCGGTTCGGCAGCGTCCCGTCTAGGTCGAGCATGCGCCAACGAGTGTCGCTCTCTCGCTCGTCGTGAGACACGACCCGGGCGTGCTCGGTCACGAAGTACATCGGCTGGTACTCGCGGTAGCCGTTCCAGTCGGCGGCGGGAATGTCGCTCACGGGAAAGTCCCAGCGGACGTCGTCGCCCATCGTCGCCATCTTGGCTTCTTCGCCAACCAGGTGCTGCTCGACGAGCTTCGAGGCGGCAATGACGGCGAGGAGATTCGGAGCGAGCAGAAAGGTCGGCGGTGAGTCGTCCATCTGTCTGTGCAGAGCTGGGAAGTCGGTCGAGAGTGAGCGGAGCGGCAGCGGCGCCTTCGCATGTGCGCGCACTTACCTGCAGCGAGCAGGATGATGTTGTGCAAGCTCGCCTTGTCTCGCTGGTCGAAGCTGAGCGCACCAACGCCGCGCAGGCCTACATGGACGCCGGGCATCAAGCTCTCCTTCTGCGGCAGCAAATGTGCGCGCAGGGCTGGAGGCTCTCCCGTCACGTAGCACCACCGCACAGTGCCAGGCTGAGGTGGACGCGCGCGGCCGTTTCGCTCGTGCACCACCCAGTAGGCCTCGTCGGCTGGGTGCGCGCGCGATGCGCTTGACGCCGTGCTGGACGCCGTGCTGGACACGTCTGACTGCGAGTGTCGGGGCGTGTGGCGGCATGCTCCCGCAGCTGGCGCAGCAGCTCTGCGGGCTCGGCATGCTCCCGCAGCTGGCGCAGCAGCTCTGCGGGCTCGGCAGGCGACGCATGCTGCATGGCGCCCTGGCAGCGGCGAGGGAGAAGTGAGGAGGGGTGAGGTGGGATGGTGCGGTGTGGTGCGGTGCGTACGGCATCCGTCTCTGCTCTGCTGCTGGACCAAGCCTCTTCCCATGCTCGCATTTCTCCGCCTCTCGCAAGCAAAGTACCGCTCTGAGCCGCCATGCGCGCTAGGCCCTACAGTAGCGCGCTCGCCGTGCCTCTGGGGCGATGCGGCGGGTGACGGCCCTGTCCTGCGTGGGCTTCTGAGCGCGGGAGCTGCGGCGCTCGGCCGTGTCGACGAGACTAGCGTGACGGCATGCCAAACCTTCGCTGACGGCGCGCACTTGTGCCTGCCCCATCCGGCGCTCTCGCCCGCGCTGCGCGTGGCTGCGGCAGCACCAGAAGGCACAGGCATGGCGAGCAGGGCACCCTCGAGCCAAGTTGCCGCTAAAGTGATTCACCTACATGCTGCTCGCAACCTCTGTGTGCATGCCGATACGGAAGCGCCCGCGCGTGGCTCCCTCCTGGCGCTGCCACTGGCTTCATGCGGCGACTGCGCTGGGTGTCTCGCAACGTCGCCGGACAGACGAGACTTGCTGGCCGCTGCCGCAGCCGTCGCCTCGCGCGAGCGGCTGCTGCGCTGAGCTGCTCATGTCAGTCAAGCTTCGGAGCGAGGAGCGTCGATCGCGTGACGGGAGAGCAAGGATGGACGCTCGATGGGGCAGAGGAGAGCAAGACGGGGCCGGCCCGCTGGGCGCGCCTCGGCGTTGAGGCCGAGCGGCTGGGAGCAACGCTTCGCGGATGCTGTCTCTCGTCCGCCCATCGCTTTGCCCGCTCTGCGTGGTTCGAGGGAACATTTGCAAACCAAGCAGAACGACGAGCGCCCGCAGCTGCAGCTGCATTCCTGGCGGCTGGGTGCGGAGGAGGGCCGTGGTCATGGCGCTTCCGACGGCTGCAGAGATGCAGGCAGCGCAGCAGTGATGCAGGCGCGGCGGCCTCCGAGACCGCGTGTGCCGCTGCATCCGTCTGCGTGCTCCTGCGACGGCGGCCAAGCGCGCGCGAGACATGCCTCTCGGCCTCACAAGCTGACACAAGCCCCTCACGCTTTGGACTCGCTGCACGCTGCATCGACGAGCCGAAGCGGCAAGTCTCAGCGCAGCGAGCGGCAGCCGTCGGCGGTGGCAACGACGCCTCGTGGGAAGGCCGCGCGACGGCGCTGCGAGGGCCGCCGTCGGAGGGCCTCCTCGCCCTTCTCGCCGCGCGTCGAGCTTGGCCTTGTGCTCCCTGAGCGCGGCTCGCATCGCATCAAGTCTGCACGCTTGCGCTCCTCGGCTGCTGCTGATGCTGCACCCACTGATCTGGCCGCCTGTCCGGCGTGCCGTTGCCGCCGCCGATGGGCCGCTGAGGCTCATTGATTCATGCGTCCCTGCATGTGTCGCATGCTCGCGGCATGCCGTGGCGTTGCGGGCGCGTCGAGGGCTCGAGCTTGTGTCGCATGTAAGGCGCTAAGTAGATGCAGCGCTGACGACGTGCCTGCGCGCCTGACGCTGCTTGCTCGCGCACCATCTGCTTGCGGCGGCGCGCGGGCTTTCCCACGCTGCGGCGGGCGTCGCGCGTGGCTGGCGAGGTGCCTGGCGCCTCTGCGCGCCTCGCTCGCCGACGGCTGTTTGCGCCGCATCTGCTCTCCTGCGCCGCCTCACGGCGCGCCGCGGCGGTCCGCAAATGGCGGGCGCGGCCGGCGCAGGCAGCATCAGGGCGCAGAGAGAGAGGGGCAGAGCCGAGAAGCGCCTCGCAGTCGATTCTGCACCGCGTCGAGCTCTCTGCACGCTCGGCTCGCCCGGGCAACAACGCGGCGCGTCGAGGGCTCCTCCTTCTCGCTGTTCCTCTCACACATCCTCCTAGCTGGGCCCTCCCTGCGCGCGCGGCGTGCTCACCAACCCCTCACCTCTACCTCTGCGCGCCCGCTCACACGATGGCGGCAGACGGGTTGCCCACGCCCGAGAACCCGGGCCGCCTGGCCTCGGCGGCGGCCATTGCCAACCCCTTCCAGGCCGCCCTCAGCGCCGCCACGGCCGCACGCAAGGCCGCCGGCAAGCGCGCGCCCAAGCTCGTCGGCATCCTCGCCACGCCGAGCCCGCCGAGCGTCGCCTACGCCGAGTGGACGAAGAAGGCGTGCGAGGCCGTGGGCATCGAGTTTGAAATCTGGCGCACCTGGGACGAGGCGGCGCAGGACGAGCCCATGGACGGCCAGACGCCCAAGCCCGAGGGCAAGAGCGACGCGGCCGCCGAGCCCGCGGCCGCGGAGAAGCCAGACATGGAGCTGGAGGGCGACGTGGAGGACCTGATCATCGCGGCGAATGCCAGCGACGACGTGCACGGCATCATGGTGAGTGCAGGTGCCCGCACTGCCGCGCGTGGCCCGTCTCTCTGTGCTCACGCCGCGCTGTGCAGGTGTACTACCCCATCTTTGGCGGACGGCAAGACACGTACCTGCAGCAGATCGTCGACCCGCGCAAGGACGTCGAGGGCCTGCACTTCAGCTACTGTTGGAACATGTATCACAACGTGCGCTGGATCCTGCCGTCGCAGCTCGGCGGCGCGCCCGGCACCACGTCCGAGCCGCAGGCCGTCAACGCCTCGCCGTCCGAGCCGCGCCGGCAGTCGGTGAGCGGCGGCACCGACGAGGTCGTGCCGGCCGGCTTTGCCAAGTCGATCCTGCCCTGCACGCCGCTGGCTGTCGTCAAGTGCCTCGAGGCACTCGGCGTGTACGACCACAGCCTGCCCTACGGCGACCGGCTGTACGGCAAGACGATCACCATTGTCAACCGCAGCGAGGTAGTCGGCCGTCCGCTCGCGGCGCTGCTCAGCAACGACGGCGCCAAGGTGTACAGCGTCGACCTCGGCTCCGTGCAAGAATTCAACAAGCGTGCGCCGGACGATGGCCAGGCCGACGACGTGCACTCTGCCAACGGACGCACACGCTCGAGCGTCGTGCTTGCCGCCCGCAAGGCAAACTCGTCGCGCCGCCTGCGTCCGCACCACGTCGTGCGCCCCTGCTCGATGGACCTGCAGGGCTGCGTCGGTGCGTCCAACGTCATCATCAGCGGCGTGCCGTCGGCCAACTTCAAGATCCCCACCGACTGGGTGCCGCGCGGAGCCACAACGGTCAACTTCAGCAGCGAGAAGAACTTTGAGAAGGACGTGCGCACGCGTGCGGCCTGCCACCTGCCGGCCATTGGCAAGACCACCATTGCCATGCTGCAGCGCAACCTTCTGGTGAGTCGAGGTGCGCGTACCCGACACCTGTGCAGCCTTGCTGACGCGCCACGTGGACGCAGCGTCTCGTCGACTACCGCGAGCAGGGCGATGCTCAGGGGTTTGGCGCACCTTCGCAGCGCGGTGACGGACCCGACGGGCCGCGTGGTCCCGGCGGGCCCGGCGGCCCGAGCGGCGGCGCACCTCGTCCAGGACAAGGTGATGCGCCCGGACCGAACGGCTCGGACCCGCGAGGTGGTCAGCCGCCGCCGTCGCATGACGGCGGCAGCAACGGCCCAGACACCGGCAGTGCGGCCGGCGGGCAGGCGCCGACCGGATCGCGGCAGGCAGCCGCCTTTCTCGCACCGAGCAGCCAGCCGTCGTGGAAGACGAGCTCAGAGACATCGCTTGGACGCTCGCTCTCCTCGCGTGCAGATGACATGCAGATCGACCCGCCGTTCCAGACCGCCCTCGCTCGCGGGCGCGCCAGCACGCTGTCCATTCCGCGTCCCACCGCTTCGCGCGAGCGCTTCTCGGCGTCGACGCTGCACAGCCCAACGTACCCCGTCAGCCAGATGGGCAGCAGCTTCGGCTCGTCGTCCGCTGCCACGACGTCGAGCAGCCTCTGGGACTGGCGTCGCTCGCGCCGCGACAGCGTCGCCTCTGGCACCACGACGTACTCGTCGCTCGACTGCCCGTCGCCCACCACGGGCCCATCGCACTGCTCGCCGCTCCTCTTCGCGCCCGTGGGAGCCTCGCGACAGGCACCATCCGTTGCGCATTCGAGCCGCAGTGTCTCGAGCCACCACTACATGTCGAGTCCCGGCACGCCCATGAGCCCGCTCTTCATGGACGGCCTCTCCGTCGAGGATGCGCCGGGCGTGTCCAGCACTGCACATGCTGACGCCAGGGAACACGGGCCGTCCGTGCTCGAGCGCCCGGTCATCTCGCGCCGCGAAGTCGCCGGGCGGACCTACCGCAGCAGCACCTTCTCCTCTCCGGACTCGCACCCTCTGCTGCTCGAGCGCTCGCCGTACCAGACGCTGTCGGGCCTGGCTCCCCCTGCGGCCAGCGAGTCGGCCAGCGCGCGCCAGGCGCAGGAGGCAGCCGACCAGACGCAGTCCGATCCGGCCGCCGCTGCGCCCGTGGGCGACCGCTTTGCCTCGAGTCGGCGCCGCAGACGCCCGCCGTACAGCTACTCGTCGCTCATCGCACAGGCCATCGCCTCGTCGCCCGAGGGCCGCATGACGCTGCGCGAGATCTACACGTGGATCTCGACGTCGCTGCCGCATCTCTACTCGATGGAGGGCCCCGAGCACCAGGGCTGGCAGAACACTGTGCGCCACAACTTGAGCCTCAACAAGAGCTTCGTCAAGGTGGCGCGCACGGCGCAGGACATCTACGAGAGCTGCGCGTCGGGCAACCCGAGCCTGAGCCAGGCCGCCCGTGGCAAGGGAGGCTGGTGGACTCTCGATGTGCCTGTCGCACAGGCGCTGCTCGGTCCCAACTACAAGGGCGAGGAGGACGGCGACTCGGGCAACGAGGACACGGCGGCCACGACCGGCCCTGGCGGACGTCCGCCGCGCCGTCGCCGCACCAGCAGCTTTGCACCCGTGGCCGGCTCGATCGATGCGGCGGAAGAGGCCCGTCCCAAGACTGGCGATGGTCCTTCGGTGCTGGCCCGCGTGCCGGACAGCCCTCCGGCCGCCTCGCGCACCGCAGGTCCTGCATCTGCCGCCGGCGTGCCCTCGGTGCTGCAGCGCCCTCGCACACAGTCGATGGAGGTGCAGGACGTGGCAGAGCACCTGGCGCTCATGCAGCACCAGCAACAGCAGCAGCTGCAGCTGCAGCAGCAGCAGCAGGCGGCCGCCCGGCCGCTCACTGCCCACTCCAGCATGCGCAGCAGCTTGCCGGGCGCTCCGCTCGCAGCGATGTCCGCGGCACAGCATGTGGGACGTGCTCGTGGCATGACGACGAGCGTCGTCGACGAGCAGCGTGCCGGTCTGCCTCGCCACCTGCGTCTCAACCACGCCGCTGCGCCGTCGCACGCCGCGCCGATGCCGAGTGTGCCGCCGCACTCGCCGCTGTACGGCCACTTTGCCGCGCAGCAGCAGGCGGGCAGCATGCAGCTGGCCAGTCCGAGCAAGCGCAAGCACGTGCTGGAGCGCGACGACATGGAGCGCTACGAGCGCAGCCCGCTGGCCAGCCGCAGCGACCTGCCTGCCGACGAGGAGATGCAGCCGCAGCAGCTGTCAAGCAAGCACTCGGTGCTGCAGCAGCCGAGAAGCGCCGCCCGCGAGGAGACGCCGCTTGCGTCGCGCGAGCCGGTGCGCAGCAGCGGCATGTCGATTCGCGACCTCCTCAACAGCTGATTGGGACGTACGTCTCGACTGCATCCCCTGATGGGGAGCAGCTGTTGCACCTAGAAAGTATTCAATGTCACTAGACTTACTCGGACTTTGCAGCACGTGTCAGAGTGGTGCAGGCGAATCTGAATGACGGTCGGGAGCGAGGTCGAGCCTGTGTCGTCGGCCCTCACGTGCTCGGCCTTGGCGACGTCCCGTGCGTCAGTGGCAGGTCAGGGCAGCGACGTGAGGACCAGCAGCTGACGAGGCACGGCGGCAGCGGCGCTGGGCCGCGGCTGACAGCAGAGCGTCTCCGGCCGTCGCAGAGGCAGCGCTCTCCGCCGCTAGCAGCAGGCGTGTGCTGAGGCCGAGGGAGCAGCGTACCCTTAGCGCGGCGGGAGCAGAAAGAAGCACGGATCGTCGTGCAGCGCGCAGCGCCGTGCAGCGTCGGCGCCGGCAGCAGCCGGAACAGCCGCAGCAGAGGCACCGAGGCACCGAGGGAGGGCTCGAGCGCGTCGGGAGCTTTTTCTTCCATGCAGCGCGCCGCAGCGGGCGGGATGGGAGCGGCACGCGGGCTGCCCGAGGGCCGGCGATGAAGTGGCGGCTGTCGCGGTGGCGGGCGAACGCTCTCTTTCTGCAGCTGCTGCTGATGCTGTTGCGGGATGCTGCGGCAGCAGAGCAGCGAGGGCAGCGCGAGATGCGCACCCTCTCCAAGCCGACGGGCGGCTTGCAGCTCCGCCCGCGCATGGGTGCGCGTGCGTGGCGCTGAGACCCGGCGCCGCGTCTTATTCTTATTCTTATTTCGGCGCTGCGCAGAAGTTCCGGCAGGACGCCCCTGCACGGCAGGACGTCAAGGGAGAAGAGGGCGCTGCTGGCCTGCCTTTGCGAGCACGCTCAGGCCCTATGGTGGGCGTGTCGTCTCTCCTCTGCCGCTGCACCTGGTGCTCCTGCCGTGCCTCCTACCGCCCTGCACCTGCGGCACGGTGCGGGGAAGGCGCAGGCGGCCCATCCCTGCTCTCACCGCCCTGGCACAGGCACCCGACATCAGCACTTGATGCGCCTCGGCAGGCACCTCATCAGCAGCGCACAGCCGTTGCGATCGAACGAGACGCGCATTGCTGTGGTGCGATGGTGCCTGTGCGGCGGCGCGAGAGTGCTTGCCTGCCTGTTGTTGATGCAGCAAACAGAGCGAGCGAGAGGGGAGCAAGCATGCGAGCGGAGTGCTGCGCGGTGGCTGCTCCCGTCTCAGGGCCGCAGGCGACACACGGGCAGCCTGCGACACGGGCCCGGCACCCGCTGCAGCACAGCTAGTGTGCCCCTGCCCTGACTATGAGCTGGAGGCACTGGCAGCGCCGCATCACATCTCGCTCGGCCATCACGGGAGCAGGCAGAGAGGGAGAATCAGAGACGGGTGGGCTCCTCGGCCGGCGCGGCACAGGCGCGGCCTTAGCAGCTCCGACACGCTCCCGCACTTGCTGCTGCCGCCGCACCTCTGCTGGGACCTGAACAGCGCCGTCGACGACGACAGATAGCGCTGCCGTCAGTGACAGCGGCGCTTTCTCTCCTCCCAACACCTCCTCGTGTGCGCTCACAACCCCGTCGCTTGCCGCACATCCCGCGACCGCCCAGCCGCGGCGCACCATGATCATGCAGACGTCCTCCAGTCCGCCGGGACGCAGCAGCCTGCTCGGCGGGCTCAAGCGCCGCACCTCGCGCCGCACGCCCGAGCTCGACCAGTCGCCCTTCTCCTCGTCGTACGCCGCGCGGCCGCGCGATCCCAACGAGGAGGTCAAGAAGGAGCGCCGCAAGTCGGCCATGATTCTCGTCGTCGAGGAGCCGGCGCCGCCGAAGCCGGCGCCGGGCAGCGCCATGGATCTGGCAGAGCAGCACCAGCGCCTGCAAGAGTTCCTCAACGCCAGAGAGCCAACGACGACGGCGGCGGCGGCGGCGACGCGGGAGCCCAACGTGCGCAAGCAGTCTGACCCCCTGCCGCCGTCGCGGCCAAGCAAGGCGGACCGGCGCCTCTCGCTGCCCGTGCCTCGCCCGCCGCGCGGCACGCTCAACTCGCCCGAGAAGCTCGCCTATCTCGACTGGCGCCTCGAGGGCGTGCGTGTCGAGCAGGAGACGGGCGAGAAGGCACCCTCGCTCTCCGACGTCACCGCCAGCTTCACGGGCCGCCAGCTTCACCAGCCGACTGCGGCGCCGGGCACCTCGCCGACGCAGCAGCACCTGCTGGCGCCCGTGCAGCATCAGCATCAGCATCAGCAGCAGCCGCGCCTCGGCGACAGCACGCGGCCGCGCCCTACGCACAGTGCAAAGCCGTCGGTCGACGCAGCCATGCTTGCGGAGTGGAGCATCGAGGAGCTGGCGCTCGACCGGCCGCGCGAGCGCAAGATCAACTTCCTCGCCGCACCACGCCCCGCGACGGCCGACCAGCCTGAGCGGCCACGCTCGCGCCTCAGCGCAGCCATGGGCACGGGCATCCAGCGCAGCGGCTCCTATCTGCAGGCGGGCATGCCAGGCATGCAGCGCAGCAACTCGGCCGTGCAGCGCGCCAGTCCCGAGATGCTGCGCTCCAACACGCCCGCCTTTGGCTACTCGAGGCTCACGCCCGAGCCGGAGGAGGACGATGACGACGACGACTATCACTACCGCCCGCGCGACGTGCGGCGCCACAGTGCCATGCCCCTGTCTGCTCCGCGTGCCGACGAGTCGCTCCTCAGCAGTCCGCCGCGGCCGGTGTCCCGCCTCGGCAAGCCCAGCCCGACCAAGAGTGGCAGCCGGCCGTTCTTCGACGCCAGACGCTGGTCGCGCATCGCCCTCAACGCCATCGGCGGCTTTGCGCCGCAGTACGCCGACAACGACTAGGCTTTCGCTCGGCTCGCGCTCGCCTCAGCGCGTTCTTGTCCCACCACTTATGGACCAGCTTCCCCTTCGCACCGCGCATCACCTTCACGACGCCCACTCTTGCCTCGCTTTGCGCAATCGAGCCCGCGCTGAAGGACTTTCTATACCTTGCGGCAATGACATGACGACAGTACCTGTATGGACGAGCCCCTCACTGGGCGAGAAGGAAGAGAAGCAGCGACGCAACGAAGCTTGCGAGCCAGACACGCTGGGGAGAGGGCAGCTTGACGCTGCTGCTCGACGCCGAGACGCTCGGGCCAGACGAGGTGGACGCTTGTGAGCCGGAATGCAGCTGACTCAGGACGTGTGAGCGAAGGCAAGTATGTGCAGGTCCAGCCTGAACTGACGGAGAAGTCGGAGAAGTACAGCGACATATTGCCCTGTGCGGCAAAGTCGGGCGTGGAGCCGCCGAAGAAGGAGGACTGTGGCACCGCCGCAGTCAGCGCCCGGCGGCAGGGCTTCAGAGCAGGCCACTTACAAAGAAGACCTAGCGACGAGCGTCGGCAGCACATCAGCTTCATTCAGGCGCCGGCTCGACGACGACGACACACGCACCTTGTCGACCCACTGCGCCGAGCCACTCGGCGTGACGGCGCCCGCAGCAGTATCGCTACTGCCGCCGCCCTTGCCAGTGCGTGTCGTGGGCACAGTGCCGCTGCGCAGCAGCAGGCCCTCTTCGTTGACCACGAGCTTATCGTCGGCCCAGAGCGCAATGCGGCCGTTCGCAATGGTCGGATCGCTGTTGAGCTGGACGAGCAGGGTGATGGTAAGTGAGCTGCAAGCACGAAGAAGCGTCAGCGCAGCCAGTCTCTGCCGCCACTCCGACTGGTGCCTGCTCACGAGCCCGGCACCAGAGAAAAGGAGCCGCGGCCGATCGAGGTGCCATATGCGTCGTTGCAGACCATGGTGGAGCGTGGGGCACAAGGGTCATAGGCGCCCGACTTGGCAGTCGGAAAGTAAGCGTACACTGCGGGCGAGGGTCAGCAGCGTTGCTTTGCAAGGTGGAGCCTCGCCGCAATTGCACCTTCTCCAGCGCCACCCTCCCGCCACATGAGCCGAGCGCTCCAGCAGCTCTCGCCGACGCCGTTGCGGGCGCCGCCGCTGCAAGCATCGGTGTTTGCGTCCCATGAGCCCGACGCATCCTGCGTGCCGACGGAGCTGTAGAGGCCCGGCAGCTTGCCGCCCTTTACGAAGGCAAAGTCACTGGGCACGGTGATGGTGTAGCGCAGCAGATGTGCCGCGCGACTGGCATCACCGCCGCCTACTGCGACGCTGGACGTGGAGTTGGGCGCTAGTGCGAAGGGCTGCGGATAGAAAGAGGTGCCACCGATGGGTGCGTTGGACGCTGCCGCTGCGCGCCTGCGCGAGCTGGAGTGGGCAGCAGAGGGCACGTAGGAGCCGTCGGGATAGGAGACCTTGAGCGCCGTCGTCATTGCTCCGCCATCGGCGCTCGGCATCGAGACAAAGTCGAGGTTCTGCGCACCCACCAGCACCCTTCCGCTGTAGAGATTCAGCGACGAGGCCAGCCAGCTGCTCGTGAAGCTCGCCGAGTCGGAGAGCGTGGCGGCGTCCTGCGAATAGGCTTTGCGCCGCAAGGGTGCGGGAGCAGAGGTGGGAAAGGTCCACGTCCATGGTGTCGGGTCGAGCGCATATGCCGAGATGACTGCATCGAGGCTTGATGCCGTCTCGTTCTGCACGGCCAGCGCAACGCCACTGCTGGCCCCGCCGACGGACGCCGAGAAGTTCAGGCTGCGCGCCGCCAGCGCCGCCGAGCTGCTGGCCGCGAGATCAAGCAGCGGCGGCTGAGCAGGCTCGAAGAGGTCGCTGCTGCGCGCATGGCTGTGCTGCGCATGCGCGTAGCTGCTGCGCGGCTGCGAGGAGAGCAGGGGCCGAGAGTGGATGAGCGGCAGGAATGCGAGGAGCAGCAGTGCGAGCATGGGGCACTGGCCGCGAGGGTGAGGTGGGTCACGACGATGGAGGCGCCGGCTGCGCATGCTCCATTGCGACGCTGCTGCCCACGCGCGGCGCACGCGAGGTTGGGTTGGCAGCTAGGCAGGCCCAACGGATGCCAGGATGCGATGGACGCCGGGCCGTTGAGGACAGCATGGGCGGTGAGCGGAGGCAGGGCGGCGCCGCGCGCGGCGGCGGCAGCGGTGGCACGACAACCCGCGCGCGTCTCTCGTGCGGCTTGCTGCGCGGCGCGAGTGTTGGTTGGCCGATGATCTACACGCTGAACTGCCTCCACCCAGCCGCTCGCCCGTGCCTGCGCCGTCCACACTACGCCATCCACCATCCTCACGCAAGCATGCAAGACGCCTCCTTCGACAGCCTTGTCGGCGACGACGACTCGCTGCGCGACCTCATGCCGTCCGCACAGCAGCTCGACGTCTCGCCCGGCCTCCTGCGCCACACGCCGCGCGCCGGCCCCAGCCGCCTGCGCCCAATCTACGTCTCGCCCGACAAGGAGCGCACGCTCGGCTTGGACGACACGCTGCAGCAGCAGGAGAACATGCCGCCCGGCACGCCTTCACTGCCGGCACACCGCCGCCCTGCGACGCATCTGCGGCCGCCTGCATCGCCGGCGCTGGCGGCGCTCATGCGCCTCAAGGACCTCACCAGCAGCCGCGCCGAGTCGCGCAAGCTGGCCGTCGCCAGCGCAGCCGCCGCAGCGCGGCCGGCAGACGAGATGAGCATGCTCTTCGATGCTTCGCTGCAGCTGGGCCCAGCCTCGCCCTCGTCGCCGCTCAAGCGCACCCTCGGCAGCGCATCGAGCCGCGCCGCAAACGGCGTGCGCGGCAGCAGGAGACAGCCGCGCGCCTCGATGTTCCGCACCAAGGCGGACCAGGTGGTGGATCTGAGTCTGCTTGGCGAGGAGGAATTAGAGCGACTGGCGTGGGAGGACATGGGAGAGAGCGAGCCGCCAGCGCAAGAGCAGCAGGAGAAGAAGCCTGTTGCGAGCCAGCAGGCGCAGCTGGGAGGCAGCGAGCCCAGTCCGGCGCGGACAGAGGCCAAGCAGCGCAAGGGCCGCGCCTTGAGGAAGCGGAGGAGCACAATCGTCCCGACCGAGCTGGCCGCCTCTGCTCCTGCCTCTCCGGCGCCTGTGGCAACAGCGGCCGTCGACTCGCCTCGTCGCTCGACGCGGAACACGCCTGTGCCGCCCAGCCCGCAGCCGGACGCCGCGCCCTCTGAGCCATTTCTGACGCAAGCTGCGCCGAAGCTAGGTTCTCCGTCGAAGCTGCCGCGGCGGGCCGTACGCACCACTACGCTTGGTACAGCAACGAAGCACGCCGAGGAGCCCGCAGAAGCTGTCGCGCCTCGTCGAGCGCCGGCAGAAGCGAAGCCCGCGGCGCCGGTCGTCGCCGCCGCAAAGTCTGCACTCCCGGCCGCCCGCATCAGTCATCTACTGCGCAAGCGCGAGCAGCAACGTGCTCAGCAGGCCAGCACGGTGATGGAGGCGCAGATGCCAAACGAGCTGCAGTCGCGGCCCGAGACGGAGAGCGGAACAGAGACTGCGGCTCCAGCTGATGTGCCACAAGTCGCCGAGCTGATTGAGGAGCAAGCTGTCGTCGTCACACAGCAAGAAGCCGAGCCAGACGCGCCGTCTCAGCCTTCACGGCCCGCCACGCCTGAACTGCTCCAGGCCAGCAGCACCTCGCTCACCGAGCCGCCGCGTGACGTGACGCCGCGTCGGCGCACACGCTCCTCGATGAGAGACGCGACGCCCGCAAGCTCCTTTGATGCTGCTCCGAGCGTCGCTGCACCTGCGGACCAGGACGACGCTCCTGGCCCGTCTCTTGCCTCTCGACCGTCGTCTCACGACCTCGAGCTGAGCCCACCGGCGCGTCCAGTGCGTGCGCGCGCCTCCCGACCGTGCGCCTCGGGCATCACCATCCCACGATCGCCCTTTGCACGCTCCCGCCGCGAGAGCGCCGTGCGCTCGGCCGCAGCTCGCGCGCTGGCGACAGCGCGGAGCAGTGCAGTCACGTCGCGCAAGGACGCTCGTGCCAGCTTGGCCAGCTCAGGCGCGGCAACAAGCACCGCTCAAGACGCCATCGTGGGCGTGCCGCAAGGCTTCCGCCTCTCGTCGACAGGCATGCTTGTCGCCGTCCCGCGTGCGCAAGCTTTCGCGCGCCAGACCCGCCATCAGCAGGCCGCACGAGCGCGTGCTGAGGAGGCGGCGGCGTCTGAGCGCGAGCGGACGGCGGGCCGCATCATTCCGCGTGCCAACCCGGTCCCGGCCTGGATGCAGCAGCGCAAGGCACAGCTGGCGCTGGAGGAGGAGGCGCGCCTCGAAGCAGAGCGAGCTCGCGTGCGCGCGGAAGAACTCGGCAAAGGCGCTGCATCGCTGCGCGCCTCGGCTAGGCGAGTCGAAGCGCCGGCACCAGCTGGGCGCAAGAGCCGAGGTGCCTTCGTCTCGAGCGTCGACGCACGCCTGCGCGAGCGCGCCGCCTGGGAGCTCAAGCGCGCCGGACACGAGAAGGTGCTCGAGGCGGAGCGAGAGCAGGCACGCAGCGAGCGCATGCAGCGCGAGGAGCTGCAGTATCGCGAGGCCCGCGCACGCGCCGTGCCCAAGGCCAACCCTGTGCCTGCCAGCATCTACGGACACAGCACCATGGCGACCAAGACGCGACGTGCTTAGTTACTCACCTGACTCCGCTGTACACCAGCCCCCACCCATACCCCACGCAAAGCACACAGCCTGCACACTGAGGATGACTTTGTGATTGGCCCGGGCCCGCTACCGCGCCGTCTTGCGCGTGAGGAGAATCGCCGATGCAACGGCCGCGCCGAGCACGAAGCCGCCGATGCCGCCGAGCCAGGGCGTGCAGTAGCCGGCGACGGGGCAGCGGCCGGTGATGCGCTTGCGCACGTCCTCGGCGCGCGGCACCATGTGCTTGATGCCGCGCACGCGTCTGGCCGAGGGCACGGTGCCCTTCTCCCAGCCCGCGAGAATGGCGCGCATGTCGGCCTCGGTCATGTTGGCCAGCTCGTCGAAGCTCCACGTCTCGCACACGTCGATCATCCACGCCATGCGCCGCGCGCCGACCTTCTGCTCCGGCGCCTGCTTGCGCAGCAGCGCACGCAGCACGCCGACGCGCTCGATGGCCTCGCCCAGGTTCTCGGGAATGGCGCGCTCGATGATGCGGCGAGTCTGCGCCGCGATGCGCGGGCCCTTGCCGCCCGTCGAGACGAGCACCTGCAGCGGGCCGCGGCGGATGAGGCTGCCAAAGTAGAAGTCACACTCCGGCGGCACGTCGGCGACGTTGACGGGAATGCGGCGTGCGCGGCACATCTGGCAGATGCGCCGCGACAGGTCGGCATCATCGATGGCCGTGAGCACCATGTCGAAGCCTGCGAGGTCGCTGTCGCCCTCAAATAGCCGGTCCTCGTATGCATCCACGACCTTCTGCTCGAAGATGCGGAACTTCATCTCGCTGCACAGACCGGAGCGCGGCGCGAGCACAGTGAGGTGCGCATCGGCGTCCTTGACGTTGACGAGGCGGCCTGGGCGCACGCACGCGTGAGCATGCCCGGCCGTGAAGGAATGCGCGCAGCGGGACCCGGCACCTCTTCGCCCGCGTCTGCTCTCAAGGGCGCACTCACCGGCAGCGACAGGACCTCCACCGACGAGCAGCACACGCTTGCCCTTGAGCTGCCAGGCGAGCAGCAGGCCGCCGCCCTTGCAGATGGGCTGGTACTTGCCGTTGTCGGCGCGCGAGCCGTTCTCTGCCATCGTGCCGGCTTATCGATCACGCTCAGGTGGAGGGCCAGAGGGCCAAGGGCGCGGCGAGATGGAGTCGCGGCGATGGGTGAAGATTGAAAGACGTCTGCGCGGAAGGATCGGGCTGGGCAGAAGGCAGACGAGAGGGACAGGCAGAAGCGGAGGTGAGGGTCGGGAAGAGAGGTCGCGCGACAAGTCGAGTGCTGACAGACGCCCGCGGCGCGCGCCGCAGCGCCGGCGCGGCGAGATAATCTCCGTGTCGCGCGGCCGGCGGAGCTCGCCGTTCCGCCAGCCACGAGCCATCATCATGAGCCTCCGCTCCAGGGACACCATCGCTCCAGGGACCAGCAAACGAGAGCAAAAGTAGACATTGCACGCGGCACAGGCATTCTCGCCGCCTCAGCTGGCATACGGAATGCCGTTCTGCTTCTCCTGGAAGTAGTCGTAGAAGACCGACTTGCCCGAGCCCTGCGTGCGGCCGCGCGCGCGTCAGCGACATGCTGCAGCACCTCCGCCAGCCCACGGCCAGCAACCCACTCACCTTGGTCTTCTCGATGAGCTCCATGGCAAACTGTGCCGCCTGTCGCTCGTTGAGGCCCAGCGCAAAGCGCTCGCGCATGCGCTGGATCGCCTGCGTCGGGTTGCCCTTGCTGCAGCGGGCGCACACCGGGCACGTCAGCATCCGTTCCCCCTCGGGCAGCGCAGCGCGGGCACCACTCACTAGCAGCCCAGATCCGCGCCGGCCATCAGCACACACATGTCGATGATCGGCTCGGCGTAGGCGCGCACGGCGAGGAAGCCGCGCACGAGCATCGAGCAGAACGTCTTGAAGCCGTCCTCGCCCATGAGCGTGATGTACTCGACGGAGAGCTTGAACGGCGCTGCGGTGGGGAAAGCGCGGGTCAGCTCGGCGTACGTGCGCGGCACAACACGCCATCTGCGCCGCCTCTACTCACGCTCAAACTGCATGCCGCCCGGGCCCGAGTCGAGCAGGAAGCCGTAGTCGATGTGGATGATGTGGCCGTCGCCGTCGATCATGATGTTGCCATTGTGCCGGTCCTTGACGTTGAGCAGGTGGCACGCCAGGCTGTACGCGGCCATCGACGAGATGAAGTTCTGGCGCGCCTTTTGGAAGGCAATCGAGTCGCGGTTGCCGTAGCGCTGCACGAAGAACGTGCTGAGGTCGTTGACCTGCGCGCGGCCCATCTCGTCGCGACTCGTCGCGTTGGGCACGACGTCGATGACGCCCATGCCCGGGCCGGTGGCCGTGACGCGGTACGGATTGAGGTAGAGGTCGAGGCCGGCGCTGGCAAAGATGTTCTTGAGCTGCGCGATGCACTGCAGCGCCAGCACGTCCTGCCGGCAGTCGTCGCCGACCTTGAAGATGGCCATCTGCCACACGTCGACGCCCGTCGTCTTGCCGCCCGTGACGTCGGCGGCCGAGTCGGCGCCCGGCGCCACCTCGTCGCTGTCGCGCGCGTCGGCGACGTCGCGGTGCACCTTGAACGTCAGCATGAAGGGCGCCTTGGCGTGCGACTGCAGCGGGCGGCCGCTCTTGCGCGCAATGTCGACGACCTTGCCGTCGGGATTCGACGGCAGGTACACGCCGGCGTCGACGTCGATCTTGCCGACCTCCTCGTCGATCTTGGCCTTCTTCTCCGCCTTGCTCTTCTTGATGAACGGCTTGAGCTTGCCCGAGATGCCCGTGACCTCGTTGAAGAAGCCAAACTCGCGCTCGTAGAACTTGCGCGCCTCGCCGGACAGCGCGGCGACGATGAGGTCGACCATGCGGTCGAGCGTCGGCTTCATCGGGTCCGGCACCTCGCCCTCGTCGTCCTTGTGCGAGTTGGCCTTCATGTTCCAGATGATCTGGTGGCAGAAGAGCTGCGAGATCTTCGACGTCTGGAAGATGAACTGCTCCACGTAGCCGTACTCGTCGTCGCGCAGCGCCTGCACAATCTGCGGCACGTAGAAGAACGTGAGGGACACCGGATGGTGCTCGAGGGCGCGCATGGCGTACTGCAGCAGCATCGGGCTGTTGCCGTACTTGGGCTGGAAGAGATTCACCAGCTCCACCGGCGTCACGGCCGCCCAGTAGAGCAGCCACTTGAGGTCCGTGCCCTCCTTGGTCGCCAGCTGCAGGTGCTCGGCCACGAGCAGGCCGAGTGCGTCGCCGCTGGCGACGGCCTTGTGCGGCTGCGCGCGCACCAGGCGGCCCACCTCCTTCTCGACGGTCGCCGAGTGGAAGCGGCCGACCATCTGCACGGCGACGTGCGGGTTGACGCGCCACGCCGTGCGGATCGTCTGCTGCCAGCGCGCATCGGTCATGCTGCCCGAGAGCTGGCCCGTAAAGTCGGCGTCGCGCTTGCCCTCGCCCGTCGGGTTGTTCCACACGGTGAAGCGGCTCAGCTCGTCTTCCACGAGCAGCTGCAGCAGCGCGCGCTGCTCCTCGAACGAGCGCGCGGCGCCCGCCACGGAGAGGCCGCCGGGGAAGCGCACGCCCTCGAGCGACGGCGGGAAGGAGGTGATGACAAAGACGGAGCGCTGCTTGTCGGCTGCGAGCGTGGCGAGCAGCTCGCGCATGAGCGACATCTCGGCGGCGACCTGCAGCCGGCTGCTGCCGAATGTCCACTGCGCCGGCACGGCGAACCAGGCGAACGCGATCTTGTACAGCGCGCTGCGCAGCTGGAACTCGACGAGGCCGTCGAGGCGGCTGCGCTGGATGACTCGGAAGCCGAACGTGAGCAGCGCAAAGCGCACCTCGCGCGAGAGCGCGTGTGTGCTCATCAGCGGCGTGGCCTGGGCGGAGCGCTGCAGCATGCGCACGATGGCCAGCACCATGGCGCCGTCGCGGTAGCGGAACGCCTGGAAGCGGCTCGAGATGAGGCGCAGCAGCGTCAGGTGCGGCGAGAAGAGCTTTGTAGCGCGCTCGCGCTCGCGCATCACCTCCTTGCGGTCAAAGGCGCTCATCTCCGTTTTCTTGAGTAGCGGGTGTCCGCCGGTCAGGGCGGGCGAGAAGAGGCCGCGGCGAGCCTTGATCGTCGAGGCCCAGCCGATCGAGAGCTCGACCATGATCTTCGTCTCGGCCTCGGGCCGCTCGCCGATGACCCACGTCCACACGTGGCTGGCGGCGTTGATGGCCGCAGGCGTGAAGACGCGGATCGGGATGGCGACGATGTAGTGCAGCAGGTCAAAGTCGGCCGTCGGCAGCGCCACAGCAAGCGCGGCGGAGCGGTAGAGCAGGCGGCGCAGCTCTGCAAACGGCAGCGGCTTGCCGCCCTCGGCGAGCTGCACGGCAACGGCATTCAGCTGGCGCTTGCACTCGGCCACGCTCTCCTGCGAGAAGTTGTTGACAGGGTCCTGCTGCAGCTCCAGCACGCCCTTCGTGAGCGCGAGGTGGATGCCCGTGACCTCGCCCATGTACGTGCTCTTCGACGCCAGCTCGTCGACGAAGCTGCTCGTCGCGTCGGCGCGCCAGCCACCGAGCGCCGGCAGGAATGCGTCCTGCGGGCCCGACGTGGGCATCGCGCGTGCAAAGTCAAGCGCGACCGACTTGCCGAGCTCCGAGTGGCCGGGCAGGGTGTGGTCGTCGAAGCTGCTGAGGTAGTTGTGCAGGATGCCCTGCAGCTCGACGGGCGCACGCGCCAGCAGTTCGCCGAGGAAGTCGCGCGCACGCTTGAGGAACTCCCTGAGAATCTCACCGCGCTGGCTGTACGATGCCGAGAGGTCGAACTCGAGATCGGCGCGCTCGGAGCGGAAGTGGTACTGCGGCGAGTATTCGTCGAGGTACTCGCCCTCGCAGCCCTGGCGCAGCAGCGTGAGGATCTCGAGCAGCGCCACCACCACCTCCTTGTTGCACAGCAGGCTCGGGTACGACGGCACGAGACGGTCCAGGAAGCGGCGCGACACCTGGCGCACCTTCTCCACGCGGTGGCAGCTGCCCAGCAGCAGGGCGCGCACCTCGTGGCTGACCATCGGGTCGACACTGTGGCTCGCGACCTGCGTCGAGAGGTCGCGGATGAACGAGGCAATGACGGCCTCCGAGATGGCCTCCATCGGGCCCGCCAGGCTGCTCTCGTTGAGGCCGGCGTTGACGAAGTACCAGAGGATCGTCGAGGGACGGCCCATGGCGCTGCGCGTGCACTCGAGGCAGTAGATTGTGTTGAGGAACGTGATGCGCGGGAAGGGTAGGCTGCGCACCTCGCTCGCATGGCTGGGAATGAGCGCCGCGAGGTTCTTGCGCTGCACATCGAGCGCAGACGCCGTGTAGTCGCGCTTGAGGACGGAGTTGAACTCCAGGTCCGACTCGATGTAGTTGTGCGCACTCTCGGGCACGAGGGCGGGCGTCTTGAGGCTGATTTCGCCGAGCGCCTGCTGGATCGTGGCGGGCGCAGCGCTGACAGTGAGGCCCGCCAGGCTGCCGCGGCGCGCCGTCGTCGAGGCGCCGGTGGCGCGCACGTGCGCCGGCTGGGCGATGTCGAAGATGACGGAGAGGAACCAGAGGTTGCGGAAGTGCGAGACCATCTCGGGCGTCGAGTTCTGCTGGGGGTTGATGTCGTCGTGCTGCAGCACGGCGGCAATGGCGGGCAGCAGGCTGGCCAGGTCTGCCGTGAGCTCGCTGGCCTCCTCCTTGGATGCCTTGCCGCTCGCGAGACTCGTCTGCAGCTGCATGCCCTTCTCGGCGTACAGCTCGAGCAGCTCGAGCAGGAACATCTCCTTGCGGCCCGGCTGGCGCTGCTCCTCGGCCTCGGGGTCGTCGCTGCGACTGCCCATGTCCGGCGCCGTCTCGCGCAGCTGGCCGAGACCCTGAGCAAGGCGCACCTGCGCAGCCTGCACCGACGACGTGCCGCGGCGGTTGGCGCCGCCCGTGAGGGCGCTGCGGCTGACCTGGCTAAAGGCGCGCATCACATCAACATACGCCTGGTCCGGGCCGGCGAGGGCCAGTGGCACGAGGTTGGTGAGAATGGCGGCTTCAATGCCCTCGTCTGCCGTGCGCAGACGCTGCAGCAGCATGCTGATTGTCAGTGCCGTGACCTCGGGCTTGGCCACCTCGAGCGCCAGGCGGCTGACGATGGTGATTGTCGACGCGCTGATGAGGCGCTTCTGGCTGTCTGTGCGCGCCGGCGAGATCGTCATGGCGCCGCCGCCCGTGCTAAAGTCGCGCCCAGTCACTGCACGGCTGACGCCGCTGCGGATCGACATGCCGCTGCTGGCCATGGCGCCCGGCGCGAGGCCGCCGGCTGAGCTGTCCTTGCCGAGGTAGTTGAGCAGCGTGTACATCGTGCTCACGACGAGATCGTCGTTGCGCGAGGCCGTGACGCAGATGGCGATCGCCTTGGCAGCGCTGGCCAGCACAGGGCTGATCGACGAGCTGGCGCCGTCACCGTGCGTGCTCTCGTCCAGCTCGAACATGGCCAGCGGGCTGGTGACGAAGCGCCGCAGCTGCGTCGTCATGGGCAGCGCAAGCGCGGGAAAGTTGCGCACAAGTACAGAGACGCTCTGCAGCGCTGCGCTCTGCACCAGGGGCTCAAAGACCAGCGCCGCCTCGGAGAGGAGCGAGCGGATGCGCACGAGCGTGTGCGAGTCGACGCCCGAGTCGCCGATGCGGCTCGCAGCAATGGAGACGAGAGCACCGAGTTTGAGACTCTCGGAGAGAATCTCAAGCGCGTACACGTCGATGAAGAGCTCGCCACGCTTGGCGCCCTCGGACTCGATGAAGCGCTGCAGATCGTGGTAGACGCGGCTGGCGAAGCGCGAGGCGGCCAGCAGGCCCTTCTCCACAGAGACGGACGCCGCGCCAGACTCGTCCTCCGAACCGAAGGCCGCGGTGCGCTTAGTGGTGCCGATCAGCGGCAGCACGGAGAGCAGCGTCGAGGCAATGCCGTTGCTCTCGTCCTCGCCGTTCTGCGCGGGCGCAGCCGCAGCCGAGTTGGCGTCGCGCGGGTCCTTGACGGCGTAGCGCATCAGCGACGTCCACGCCTTGGCGGTGACGTCTGCCGAGGCGGCCTGCTCGCTCGTGTCGAGGTCGAAGCGCTCGGCCTTGGCGATGCGTGCCGGGTCGATGCGGTCAAGGTCGAGCGCGCGCTTCTGGTAGTCGGCAAAGCTGGCGATCGGCGGGCTGGCGTGCGCGGCGAGTGCCTGAGCCATGACGGAGCCGAGCGACTCGACGGCGCCGCAGAGGACAAAGTGGCCGGAGAGCGGACGGCCCGTGCGGCGGTAGTGTGAGAGCAGCGCGGTGCGGTAGTCCTCGCGTTCGAGATCCTCGTCGCTCTGCGGGAAGGCGCCGGTGTCGACCAGCTCGCCGTCTTCGGCGTCCTCCTCCTCCTCGTCGCCGGAGAAGAAGGTGTCGACGGAGCCGGTGCTGCGCGCATCGTCGTCGTCGTCGTCGTCCTTAGGGCGCACCGTGGGCTGCTTGGGCTTGCGGCGCGTGGCGCGGTCGGCCTGTGCGCGCGCGGCCGCCTGCTCGGGGAGCACGAGGAGCGCGTCGTTGAGGCGCTTGGTGCTGTAGCTCGCGCTGGTGATGGGCTCGAGCGAGACGGCGAGGCGCGCAAACTCGGCCAGGCTCCAGTGAAAGGCGACACCAGAAAGGGCGCGGTAGAAGCCGTGGAACGCCGGTGCCAGGCGCGTTGCGATGACATCTGGGGATGGGTGAGCACTGGCACAGGCTGCAGGAGCGGCACGCGCGACTCACACGCCGGGCTCGTGGCGGCGCTGAGGCCGAGCGCCAGCTTCTCGGCCAGCACGAGGACGCCGTCGAGGCAGCGCTGGCGGTGCTGCGGCGCGTTGTGGGCGATGCGCAGCAGGCTCGAGGTGAGGGCAAAGGCGAGCTGGTCGGGCAGCGGCCAGTCGACGAGGTTCATGCCCTCCTCGATGTCGAGCGCCGTGAGCTCGCGCGCGGCCTGCACGACCTCGTCGAGCACGGGGCGCAGGTGACGGTCGTTGGCCTCGTCGACGGTGTGCGTCGTGCTGAGCGAGGCCGAGGAGATGGACGAGGCGAAGAGCGCCAGGCTGATCTGCGTGCGCGCCGCCGAGGCGGTCTGGTGACGGATACGTCAGGGGCCGTGGAGGCTGGCTCAGGCTGCTGCACAGCACACGCACCAGGTGCTGGGCGCCGCTCTTGTTGCGGCTGCTCGAGGCGCCGGTGATGAGGCCGTTTGCCTCGGCCGGCTCGAGCTTGCCCGCGGCGGCATGGTCGGCGAGGTTGAGGGCCAGCTCATTGAGGATGAGCTGGTGCGTGGGAAAGTCGAGGCTGCGGACGAGTGAGCGGTGCGCAGCGGGCGCTGTGGGCGGCAGACTGACCTGTCCATGGCTGGACGGGATGCGACTGTGGTGGTGGTGAGTCTGAGACGACTTCGGTCGTCGTCGTCGTTGCTTTTGGCGCCGGTGCGGGAAGGATGCACGGCCGCTCCGCCATTTTGCCGCGTACGCTAGACGAGGCAGGCCAGCACTCACACTGTGTGGAGTGCGGGGCGCGTGAAGGTGGCCGCGCGCCAGCAGCCGCACAGGCACGGCAGGCAGGCAGCGGTGACGTGAAAGCATCTGCTGCTCCCAGCAGCGGCAGGCGCACAGCGCCGGTGCATGAGGCCGGTGACGTGCCGCCGCCCCGCACTCGCCGAGCCTGCACCTGTCCGGCGTCGACGAGGGCTGCCCTGATGGTGCTGCTCTCCCACGAGAGCGAGCACGAGCTGCGACTGGTGCTCCATCTGCGTGCACAGACGGCAGCGCCGACGAGCGAGTCGCTTGCGTGTGCTGCGGCGGGCGCACGGCAAGGCGATGGCCGGGCGCGGCGCGGCTGCCGCAGATGCCGGGCGATCAGGATGGCCTAGACAGGCAGAGGTGCAGCCGCTGCGCGCGGCGCCGCGCGCCGAGCAGAGGCAGGCCGGCCGCAAGGGCGCCGCGGCGCGCCGCCGTCGCGGGGCCATCCGCCTCGATGCGGCTCCGCGAGCCGTCGTCGGTCGCCTGCCGCGCTGACTGCGGTCGCTGTCGCTGCGAAGTGTCACGCGCCTGCACCTCGATCTCCACTACGACTCCATCCTCACCCGCGCCCTCGCCGCTTCCACGCACACATTCCCGCCCAACACACCGCGGCCTCACCACACGGACCCGGCGCATGCTCGCTGCCGCCTGCCGCGCCTCGTCGTCGCAGCAGCAGCAGTAGGCGCCTCGCCGGGCAGGAGCGTGTGTGGGGCACACCGCGCCAGCCATGTCGCTCCCGTCGGCGCCGCCGCCGGCGCCCGGCAGCAGCAGCGGCAGCAGCGGCGGCGGCGCCGGTGGTCTCGGCGCACCGCCCGCCGGCGCCTCGTCGATGTTCTCCCTCTCCGAATCGCGCTTCCTCGCCGACTCGCTCGCCTCGCTCGCGCCCTCGCTCTCGCCGCCCGCCGCAGGCAGCAGCAGCAGCAGTGGCGGCGCCAGCTTCTTTGCGCCGCCGCTCGGCATCGGCAGCCAGCAGGTGGACCACTTTGATCCCTTCACGCTCAACGCGCCCTCCTTCTCCGGCGCACCGCCTTCCTTCCACCCACATCCACACGCCCCTCCGCCGCCGCCGCACGCGCACTCGCACTCGCGCAGCACGAGCGACCTCGGCGTGCCGGGCGGACACTGGTCGCAGTCGCCGCACATGCTCGCCGAGCCCACGCCGCCGCAGCCGCCGCGACGCGCCAGTATCTTTGAGCACTCGTGGCTCGCGCCCTCCAATGGCGCCGGCAGCGGCGGCGGTGCGCAGGCGATGCAGACCGACGAGGCGGGCATGCCCGCCGGCGCGGGTGCGGGTGCCAGCGGCGGCGGCGCATATGGTCGCTCGCGCGCCTGGCAGCATGCTCAGCTCGAGGCGCTGCAGCGCGAGCGCGAGCGCTACTTGGCGCACGCAGCAGGCGCCAGTGGCAGCGGCAGCATGGCGCCGCCCGCTCATCCGCCATCACAGCCGCAGCCGCAGCATCCCGGCTACATGGCCCATGCGCCCACGCCGCCGCATCCGCCCGGCCCGCACGGCAGCGCCTATGCCGCCGCGCTGGCGCGCTACGGTCCCGCTTCCGCACAGGCGGGCGCCGCCGGGCCATCGCGTTTCTTCGCTGGGCACCTCGTTCCGGGCCCAGCATCGACGCTGTCGAACAGCTCGAACGGCAGTATAGGGCCGAGTGCGCCGAATGACTTGGGCATCCTTGGCCTCGCCTTTCCCTCTTCTCACTCATTCCCTGCGCCGCCCGACGCTGCAGGCAACGCGCAGCAGCACGGCATCGGCGCCTCTGCCTCGTCCTCGCAGCCCGCAGCTGCCGAGGCGAGGGAACGGCCGAGCTCGAGCGAGGGCACGGCATCGAAGAAGCGCGCCAAGAGCTCAAATCGCGCCGGCATCTCTGCCTCGGCCTCTGCGGGCAACCTCATTGCCAGCAGCAGCGGCAGTACCAGCGCCGGCGCCAGCGCCGGCACGCTGCAGCCGCCGCGGACGAGTGCCTCGCCTACCCCTGCACCGCCGGCGCCGATGCCGCCCGCCGTCTCGCTCGACCTCGACTCTGCGTTGCGCGTGCTGCCCAGCACGCTCCACGGCGCCTTCGTCTCTTCCCATCTCACACGCCTGCAGCCGCATCTCGAGCCCTTGCGGGCCGCACGGCGAGCCGAGCGGGCGGCGCGCGTCGCGGCGGGAGACACGGGCGAGGAGAAAAAGAAGGAGAAGCAGCCGCACGTGCTGCTGACCGAGGCCGAGAAGAAGAAGAACCACATTGCCAGCGAGCAGAAGCGCAGAGCCAACATCCGTAAGGGCTACGAGAGTCTCTGCGCCCTAGTGCCAGGCCTGCAGGGGGAGGAAGAGGAGGAAGAGGAGGAGAACAAAGGCGGCACAGGAGGAAGGAGCGAGGCCGTCGTGCTGCATCATTGTGAGTCCTCGGGCAGCGCGGTGTGTAGAAAGAGTGGACGCGCTGACGGTCTTGTTCGTGTGCCTAAACAGCGGTAGAGCATCTGCGCCACGCCCTCTCGGAACATCGTGCGCTCGTGCTGCGTCTAGACGAGGCGCGCATCAGGCTGGCGCGCAAGCATGGCGTGCACATCGACGCAGCCAAACGCAAGGCTGAGGCGGATGAGGCGAGCGCATCCGGCGCGCCGAAGAAGGAGGACGCCGATGGCGTGCAGGAGATGCAGACGGGCGCGTAAGCAGCCGCGTGTGCCCATCGATGTCCACGCCGCCGGCAGTGCCTTCGCCGCACGACCCTGCGCTCGATCTTGACACTGCACGCAATAGCCCTCCCGCCCTGCTCCCCCCCCCCCCCCCCCCCCCCCCCCCCCCCCCCCCCCCTTCTCCGCTGCTCGCTCGCTCTGGCCCCTCCCCCTCCTCGTCGAGACGGGGGCTCGAAGGACCTCATACCCAAGCTCTCAAGCCGCATGCCAACTCGCATTCTTCCTCGCACCCACCTGCACGCTTGCCTTCTCCTCTCCTCACTCTGTCGCGTTCGTGGCTGTGCCTCTGTCATGTTACCCTCGCCTCATCCCATCAAGGTGCTGCAATGCGACTTGCATCGCATGTACACCTGGCGCCGTGGGTCAGGACAAAACTTCGATTTCGTGTGACGGACCTTTCGGGATGAGTCGAACGTGACGACGGGAAGGGGAATGCGGCTCATGTGTGTGGGAGTTTGTGTGAAGGGTAAGCAGCGTTGTGGTCGTGCGTGTATGATGATATGCCTCGTGCTGGGATGTCGATGAGTGTGATCGTGCCGTAAGGTAGGGGGAGGGGGGTAGAAGGGGAAAGGGAATGCGGGCGCGACGCTGTGCTTGATCGCACACAGGAGGCCCTTGTAGGGCCAGTTCGGCAGCTGGGTCTGGCAGCTGCTGTCAGTCACACGACGTCGGCACGGCCGCGCCGTGCGTGTCCTCGAAGCCGAGCGCAGCAAAGTCAAGCTCGGCGATGGGAGTCTTCATGGACCCGGTGGTCTCGCAGGCGGTGATGCCTTGCGGCTCGACGAGCCAGTTGCGCACCTCGGCGCCGGCGAAGAAGAGGTGGAGGCGCCACTTGCCCGGCTCGTCGTGCTCCTCGGTCTCATTGTGCTGCAGCAGTGCACAGAGACGCCAGTCTCCACTTGCGTCGCCGCCCAAGAGCCGAACATGCTTCTCGTCGACTTCTGCCTTCTCCTCGCTCGTGGGCTCGACGAGTCTGAGTGCATCGAGCAGCGCTACAATGCGCCCGCCACATGCCGCACGCACCGCCGATGCAAGCCAGAGCTGCGAGAGTGGCGCATGGGCCGACAGAGTGCCGTCGGGCGCTGAGGCACACGCGCCAACGACGGAGAGTTCGTCGAGCACGCGCGAGACGATCTCGTCGGGTGCCAGCACCAGCGTTGTGCGTCTGCTGGAGGAGGCGGAAGAGTCGGCTGCATCGTCGTGCGTGAAAGCCGGCAGCGCACGCTGGAAGACGAGGGCGTGCGGCTGGTCCCCTGACTCCGTCGGCGAGGCTGAGAGCGCGGCGGGCGCCGAGATGGACTTGTGCGCCGCCGGCAGCGATGGCGATGGAGGAGAGGTGGACACGAGCGTCTGGCTCGTGCTGCGCGCCGGCTGCGGCGAGGAGAGCCAGGGCAGATGGCTGGGCTGTCGACTGCGCGGCGAGCGTCGCGAGGACTCTTCCTGCTCGTCTTCGACCTCGCTCTCTTCCTCCTCCGTCTCTTCGCCGCCAAAGACGGTCGGCACGTCGCTCTCATCGCCCGACGCCGAGGCTGCAGCAGAGCGCGCCAGACTGCCGCCGAAGCGATCCAGACGCTCCTTTGCGCGGCGCCGGCGAGCCGAGGCGCCGTGAGCCTTGCGCCGAAAGACGGCGGTGGAGGTGCAGAAGCGGGCGTCGGCGTCGACGCCGTCGTTGCCGCCTTGCCAGAGCTCGCCGAGCCCGGAGAGCTCGACGTCGTAGCCATACTTGGCCGCGACGGAGGTGCAGTATGTGGCGAACTCCTTGCGCGTCCACCTGAGAGACAGTTGTCAGCAATTGGCCCGGGCATGCGCACGGCCGACATGGCACACTCACTCGAACTGGTGGTCGTCGTGGCGGAAGCGGCGACTCGTGCGTCCCGTTGGGTCTTCGAAGCCGTGCATCTTGCCCAGCGCGTCGAAGTGCCGGTTGAAGTCGTAATTGGGCGTCGTGACGAGCAGAAGCTTCGGTGCATAGCGGCCCAGCACGACGGGCGCGAAGTGCTGCAGCGTCTGCTCATCGAGGTGCTCGATGAGCTCCGACGCCACGATGCAGTCATGCTCGGCCAGACGGCTGTCGTACGCCGCCAGCGTGCCGTGGAAGAGCTGGACGTCGAGCGAGAGCCAGCGCGGCGTCGCGGCGAAGTGTGCGGAGCCAAGCGCACGCTCGGCGGCCTGCAGCGAGGGCCGATCGATGTCGAGGCCGCTCAGGCGCTGCAGTGCGATGTGCGGTGCCGCAAAGGCCAGCTCCTCGGCCTCGAGGCGCGGCTCGGCGGCTCCCTCGCCGCACGCCTGCTGGATGCGGCTGAAGCGCGGCAGCGGAAAGGCATCGAGCTGCAGCGCGGCGTTGCTGAGGTGCGAGAGCAGCCGGCCCTCGGCACAGCCAATGTCGAGCACGGAAGAGATGCTGGCTTGGCGCAGCTGCGAGAGGAGGAAAGCCTGGCGCTGCAGGTAGAGCGGCGGCTCGAAGGTGACGCTGCGCGGCGGCGAGGCGTGCGTCATGGCGCCAGCAGACGGCGGAGAGGAAGGTGAGAGGGCCGTCGACAGCGACGAGGATGGCGAGCTGAGGGAAGAAGGCTGCCGGGAGAAGAAGAAGGCGAGCCAGCAGCGGTGGCCGCGCGAAGAAGCGAAGAGGCGCCGACTGCGCTGCCCGTCGTGGGGCCGTTGGGGCGTGGCACCGGCGCACCAAGCGCGCACGCCGCTACCCTCGATGTGCTGCGGCGTTTAGGCGGTGCTTGCTGTGCCTGACGGTGTGCCGGGGCCGGGTGAAGTGTGATGTGATGTGGCGGTGCCGGCGAGGTGCCCTGCCTCTAAGCGCCCTCGCTGCGGAGACAGGAGCGCCCAAGCACGTTCTGCGATGTGCACGGTGATGCGAGCTGCCCCGTGCACTCTTACTGCAGCGCCCAAACAGCTTGCAGCCCCAGCGGCGAACAGGCGACAAGAGGGAGCACCACCGTGAGGGGCCGGCTATCTGATCGGCCCGGCCTAGGAGGCGTGCCTGATCCTCGTCGCTGCACGCACGCGCGGTGACGGCCTGCGAGCTGCGGGGCAGCGGCGGCGCGAGGCCGAGGTGCAGCCGCAGCGCAGAGCAGCCAAGCTGCGGGCTGCTGCTACAGTCGCAGAGCGTCTTGCTCCTGCTGCGGTCGGGCCGACTCGATCGACGGGCCTTCCGAAGGCGGCCTGTGCACGCCGCGGCGGGTGGCGGGCGCGAAGAAGCGGCTCGAGCGGGCCACGCGGCGGGCCACGCGCGAACAAGAGAGGGTGCGCCCTGCAGCTGCCGAGCTCGCGCGAAGGCGGCGGACCTGTGACGGGAGGACGCTCAAAAGTGTGCTCGGGCCGCAGCAAGAGAGAGGAGGGTGATGGTACGAAGTGCGACGGCCGACGATGCTCGCCTCAGGCGGGAAGGAAGCTTCCAGCTCGCCCGCTCGGCACCGGCTCCCCCACGCGCGCCGTCGCACCACGAACAAGCAGCCGGCGGGCGGCGACCGTCCCCACGACAACTCGGCACCGGCGCCACCCCCGCACAGCAAGACACATGCAGATGCTCCGATGGCGTGCGGGCAAACGTCGCGGCGCGTGCTGATCTGCTGCCCGCGCCGCCGCCCGGCTGCGCCTCCGACATCGGGCAGCGGCGACGGCGGCTCTCTCTCCCGCTCCCATCCGCTCACCACGTAATCGATGCCGTCACGCCAGAGCGGAGAGCTTGCGGCCGGATCAGGCACCACAGACGCGAGCACGCAGTCTCGCCGCCGGCACGGGTGATCTTGCTTGCTCGGCCGAAGACAAGAGGAGCTGCTCGCTGCGCTGTGCGAGCGGCGTCGTCTACCAGTAGGGACAGCGCTGATGCTGCGGCTGGTGCTGCCGGCCGCGGGTGGGTTGGCGAGCGGTCCGCGTCCGTCCTCGTCGCACCCTCTCCTCAGTCCTCGAGAAGGGCGCAGCATCTCCATCACCCGAGAGTGCACCCCAGAAGGCGAGGTGACATGAGCTGTGCCGCGCAGCAGCAGCAAACGTGCGCAGAGATGAGCAGCGTGCCTGGACGGAAAGGCACTCCTGCGGCAGGTGACGGCGGCGGCGGCGGAGCGGCGCGCGTGCGCAGGCACCAGCGTGCAGAGAGAGGGGCCGATGCCGCACCCGCTCTCGGCACGCCGCGCGCGTGTCGTGCGGACGGCCGAGAGGGCAGGAGCCTCTGCACCAACAACAGCCGCAGCCGCCCGTCGAGCTGTGCTGCACCTGATCCTTCGAGGTGCAGTCAGCGCAGAGGAAGGAGGAGGGCAGCGAGGCAGGGCCCGAGCGCCGAGATGGCCGAGTGCCGAGATCTGGCGCCTGCACCGCGCGCGCGCGCGCGCACGGGGCACACGCGCGGTGCGGCCGGCCGCGGCACCTCCGCTTCACTTCGCCTATCTCCTATCGCCCCCCAGCCGGCGGCCCGTGGGAGGGCTGCGCCGGCGGCCTGTGCTCCTGTGGAGGGGCCTCAGCATCCAGGCACAGCCTTGCGCGACACGCTCGCTCTCAGCCACCACCATCTCCTCGACCATGCCGGCCCCACAGCGTCCTCCGCTGCCTGCGCCCGCGCATCTGCCGCGGCGCGTCTATCTCGGCGCCGTCGTCTCGCCCATCTCCCTGCTCGAGCTGCGCTTCGTCACGCGCGCCGCATTGGGCGTAGGCTCATCAGGCGTCATTCGCTTCGTCCAGGATCTCGAGCAGTGGGCTGGTGCAGCGACGGCGCGCCCCGACGCCGCCGCGGCGGCGGCCGTCGCGGAGCAGGGCTTTGGCGGCGCCGACGCCGACGATCCGGACCCGACGCCGCTGCTGCAGAGCCGCAAGGAGCAGCAGCGCGCCAAGGAGGCAGCGCAGCAGGCGCGCCTCAAGGCCGAGGCCGAGCGCGAGGAGAAGGCTCTGCTCGAGGTGCTGGCGCAGCACGGCTGGGACGCCGCCTCCGTCGACATCGTCCGCCTGGAGCGCGGCGACTTTCTCTGTCCCGGCTTCGTCGACACGCACGTGCATGCCTGTCAGGTGCCGAACATCGGCCTGGGACAGTCCTACGAACTGCTCGCCTGGCTCGAGAAGATCACCTTCCCGCGCGAGCGCCTCTTCGAGTCGTCAGAGTACGCACGCACCACGTACCACTCCGTCGTGCAGCGCATGCTCGACTCGGGCACTACGTGTGCGGCACTGTATGGCACGCTGCATCAGGAGGCGTGCGAGATTCTTGCAGACATCTGCAATGAGCGCGGCATGAGGGCACTCGTGGGCAAGTGCAACATGGATCGTAACTGCCCGAGCGAGTACACCGAGAAGGTCAGAGGTTGCGCAGGGGTGCTGCAGGCGGCGAGAAGCTGACGCCTGCCTCCAGAACGCCAGTCTCAGCCTCGAGTCGACGAAAGCGTTCATTCAGCATGTCCGTGCACTGCGGCCATACGGCGAGCCGCCGTCAGTGACGTCTCCCGACATGCGTCCCTCGCGCGGCTCTGCCGAGATGGACGCCAGTCTGGCGCGCCTCAGTCGTACGATGAACGAGCTGATGGGCGAGCCGAATGAGGCTGAGCCTGGCACTTCCTCGCCCGACGCCGATGTCTCTCCACTGCCACCTGCTGCACTGCCGCTCGCTGGCTCGCGTCAAGCCTCGCCGGCGCCGCCTCGCTCCCGCGCCGTGCAGCGTGGCATTGAAGGTCGAAGGAACGCTGCGTCTGCTCTTTCGAGGGAACAGAAAGGGTTAAGCCCGCAAAGACAACCTGATGCCAGTGCGAAGCCGCTTGCGGTCGCTCACACTCGCTGCGCCACGACGGCGGCTAGTCCAGCACGCGTCAAGGCGCTCGTCCTGCCCATCCTCACGCCGAGGTGAGGGGTCAGGAGCCGATTGATCCGTGGCGATGCGGTGCTCTCAGAGGCTGACGGCCCCCATTTTCGCTCCAGATTCGCCATTGCCTGCTCCGACGCTCTGCTAGCCGGCCTGGCCGCGCTCTCCTCGAAGGACCCCACGCGTGCGTGTGGCCTTCTCACCGCGTCTCGCACTTCCTCTCACATGATGCCACAGTGCGCATCCAGACACATCTCTCCGAGAACGTCACCGAAGTCGAGTTCACCCGCTCCTTATACCCTGGCCTGGAGTCGTACACGGCCATCTACGACTCCTTCAACCTGCTCGGCCCGCGGACGATTCTCGCCCACGCCATCCATCTCTCGGACGCCGAGATGGCACTCATCGCCAAGCGCAAGTGCGGCGTGTCGCACTGTCCCGTCTCCAACGGCAACCTCAGCTCGGGCGCCAGCCGCGTGGGCGAGATGCTGAACCGCGGCATCAAGGTCGGCCTGGGCTCCGACGCCAGCGGCGGCTTCAGTCTCGGCATGCTGGGCGTCATTCGCGAGGCGAGCGTGGTGGCGAAGGTCTTGAACTTCTCCAACCTGCAGACGCAGGCCAAGATTGTAGAGGCGAGCGAGAAGAAGCTGCCGGACAAGGTGGGCGAGGCGGAGGATCAGACAATGCCGGAGAGCGTGGACTTCTGCAAGGGTCCACTGCGCCTCAGTACGCTCTTCTACCTCGCCACGCTCGGCGGCGCCGAGGTGTGTTCGCTCTCTGACTCGATTGGCTCACTCGACGTCGGCAAGGTGCGTCTCTCGCTGCTGAATCCCTCGCTCATCGCTGAGCCCTTCTGCCGCGACAGGAGTTCGACGCGCTCCTCGTGCGCACCACGAGCGCATGGGATGCTGTCAAAGGCTACACGGGCTGTCCGGGCCTGTACATTGAGCCCGAAGACGCACTGCCCGCGCTGTTCGAGAAGTGGATCTTCGCGGGAGATGATCGCAATATCGCTGGCGTCTTTGTACGCGGGCGATGCGTCGGCGGGACATCGCCGATTGCGTAGCCACACAGCGGGGATGGGCCTGGGGTGCGCCTGGCCGCATCGAATGGGCGCTGCTGCTTGCTCACTGCTCTGCTTCGCGTCGCTGAGATGCTCATGCAATGACAACATGATGCGGCCTTGATGAGACTCAGTCCTTCTAGAGTGCGCGTGATGTGCTTCCCATGAGAGGCGGGGAGAGGGGCGGTAGCGGCGAAAGGGAGGTGCCTGCTGTGTGCCGTGCGGACAGCATACGCATTCAGAAGAGGTACCGACTCGAGCTCGCCTCAGGCTCTGCTCGTGCGGCCATTGCGATGCAGAGCAGCATCAAGCAGAGCAGCACATCGATACAGTTACAGGCAGCGCACCTCTCAGCGGCTCTTGGTGTCGTGCAGGCGCAGCCAGCCCAGATGCAGCACATGGCCGCGATCGCGCCGCGCGTACACGCCCACGTAGATGACGCCCGCCGCCAGCAGGGCGCAGTACGACGTGAGCGCCGCGTATTTGAACTGCGACGGCAGCGACCAGCCAATCGTGAGGCCGTAGTGTCCCAGGTCGAAGAGATTCTGCAGCGAGACCTGCAGCGCCATGAGGCTGTTGCGGCGCGGATGCGTCGAGAGGGCCTCTTGCACCATCTGCAGCTGCGCCAGGTCGAAGCTCCAGAGGCCTACGCGGCTTGCAGCCATGCCGCCAAAGAGCAAGGCGCCGTTCCATGCTGGCCGCTCGCGCCCGGGACCGGCACCGAGGAAGAGCGCCAGCAGCGTGGGCAGCAGGGGAAGAAGCAGCATCGCCAGCGCCCAGGTGCCTGGGCCTGCCGTCAGTGGAGGCGAAGAGGCGGCAATGTGCTGGCTTGCACCTACCAGTCCTAGTCAGACCGATGCGCGAGATGAGATATGGCGCCAGGAACGTGCCTCCCAGCCCCGTCACGACGCACAGGCCGCGCATCCCCGCCACCATGGCGTCCGAGTAGTACGTCTCGCTCTTGAGGTAGCCGATGAAGGCCGGGTCAAACGAGAGGGCGCTCATGTAGAGCAGCGCCAGCGAGACGGAGCTGGGAAAGACGGGCATGCGCACAAAGACGCGCCAGTCGGAGACCTGGCCTTGCAGCCAGCTGCGCACGCCTGCCTGTGCCCGTGCCACGCGGCGAGGCGGATAGCTCTGCGCCATCGCGACGTCCGGCGAGGGACTCGGCTCTTGCTGCTCGAGCTTGAGTGCCCGCACGCGCGCCTCGTCCGCCGCGAGCGCCGGGAAGCAGGCATAGGTGCGGCCGATGAGCAGCAGCTGCAAGAGTCCGCCGCCGAGCGCAAAGCCTAGCAGAATGAAGCAGGCGCGCGGATAGCCGGCCGTGCTGGTTAGCAGCGAGACGAAGAGTGGCGCCAGAAGCTTGGTAAGCAGGTCGATGCGGCGCCTGCGGACGAGGATCAGCTAACGACGAGAGCACCTCGCAAGTCGCACACACATGATGGCGTTCAGCCGTGACAGCGTGCGCGAGTCGTGTGCGGCGATGGAAGTGACCCAGTCGCGCTCAATCGAGACACTGACGCTCACGTTGGCGAGCCTGTGTGGTTGTCAGCACTGGCAGACTGTGTCCTGCGGCCGCACGGCTCACGTTACCACGCAGCCGACGGCTGTGATGGCGGCAAAGAGCGTCCAGACGTCGGCGTTCGGACTGCCCCGTTCTGGCCCCGTTCCGGCGTTCTCAGCGTTCCGGCCGAGATGATCGACGTTGAGCAGCGTAGCAAAGAGAGCGTAGGCCGCCGCCAGCGCCACGCTCTGCACCGCGACGGCGCCACGCAGCATGGCCCGCTTGCGCGCCGCGTACACATCGACGAGCCGGCCGGCGCTGCCGGCGAGCAGGATGGCGGCGAGCGTCGTGAGACAGCCATACAGCGAGGCAGCGAGCAGCGAGGCGCTGTAGGCGTGGATGAAGAAGAGCGGCGCCGCAAACTCGTAGCTGCGCGTGCCCCAGGAGCTCAGTGCATGCTGCAGTGCCAGCTGGAAGAGCGAGCGGCGGGGCAGCGGCGCCGCTGGACGAACGTCGGCATCATCGGCGACCGCTGCAGATGGAGCGGGAGTCTGCGCTTCGTCACCTGCCGCTGTTGTTGCAGCGTCCTGCGGCACGTCGACGGGCGGCAGCGGCGGCTTGTCCGACGCGGATGGCACGCGTGCCAGGGGGCGCGACGTGGCGGCCATGGCCGCTGCGGCGTGCGCGGTGCACGCTGCTGCCTCCTGCCCCTTGAGGGTGCTGCGGCGAGCAGGCCTGTCGCCGATCCCGCTGCTGCGTCCTCTGCGCGCTTGCCGCTGCTCCTCTTGCTGTGGCTTGGATGTGTGACGGCGGCGCGCGTGGAGCGGAGGAGGGATGCCGCGCCCCACCGTCGCGCGCGCTGATGACACCTCGCTGACGCCTGTGGCTCCGCGCCTGCACCTGCGCTCCACCTCGCGCATGCTCGCGCCGCGGCCGCATCCGCCGACACCTGTGCCGCGGCACCAGCGCTCAGCATGCAGCTGCAGCCGCTGCAGATCGCGCCTGAACCCTGCATGCTGCAGCTGCGCGCTGCCTCTCAGTCGAGTCTGACGGCAGAGCGCAGACCGGCTCGCAGAAAGAGAGCACGCGCGATCTAGGATGTCAGTCGAAGCGAGCCGCGCGCCGGGAGCCGGGACACGTCCGCTCGCCCCTTGGCGGCTGAGTGTGCCGTGCCGCCGACCGAGCCGCCCAAGCCGGCGGCCCGCCCTGAAGCTCGCCCGCCGCGGCGGCCTGCGCCTCGCTTCCTTCACCTCCTCATCCACCCTCTCTGTGCTACCTCCGACCGCCTCTCCCTCCCTCCACATGCCGTGCTAATACACCAACACCTCTGCTTGCTCCTGCCCGCGGCGCCGCCATGGCCTCGGCCGCACCACCGCCGCGCCGGCCATCGGCGGCCGTGCTGCTGCTGCTGAGCGCCGTGCTGCTGCCGCTCCTCTCCTGGCTGCGCCCCGCCGCGCCCGGCTGCGTGCTGCGCTACGGCGACTTCCATCTGCGCTTCTCGCTGCCGCTCCTGGCGCTTGCCGCCGCGGCCGCTCGCCCGCTGCTGACGCCGCTCGACATGGCGCGCCTCGTGCTGCTGCCCGCCATCGCCTTCGTCTGGACGACGCCGTGGGACAACGAGATTGTGCGCCAGGGCGCCTGGTCCTATCCGCCGCCGTGCGTCATGGCGCGCGTGGGCTGGGTGCCCGTCGAGGAATACGCCTTCGTGAGTGCCATGACGGATGTGCGCTGCGCCGAGTGTCGCACACGCCTCACGTCCGGGCCCTAGCCGCTCACACACCTCCCGCAGTTCATCATCCAGTCGCTCCTCACGACGCTGCAGGCCGTGCTGCTGCTGCGCTGGCTGGCGCCGACGCCGGCCCGCGCACATCGGCCGCTGCTCTTTCTGCTGCCGCTCGGCGTCTTCTTCCTCGGCGCGCGCTTCGCACGGCCGGGCGAGCACAGCTACTACGCCGGCATGATTGCCTGGTGGGCGGCCCTGCCGCTCGCGCTGCTCTGGTGGGGCACGCAGGGCGCCTGGATGGCCATGCCGCGCACGCACAAGGCCATGTGGGCAGCGGCGTGGCTGGCGCCCTCGGCGCTGCTCTGTGCGCTCGACCGCTTTGCCATTCACCGCGGCACATGGCACATCACTGTGAGTGGCGGCACAGACGCTCTGACTGTGCCTGACTGACCGGCGGCGGGTCTTTCGCAGGAGACCACGTCTTTCAACATCTTTCCGCTGCCAGATCTGCCGATTGAGGAGATGTGCTTCTTCCTCGTCACGAACCTTATCCTGATCAGCGCGTCGCTGGCCTTCGACACATGCGCGCTGCAGCTGCGGCGCACGCACGCCTCGCAGACGACGCCGCTCTCGCCGTCGTACATGCCACTGCGCGCCTCGTCGCTTGCCGCGCTCTGGACCGCCTTCGTTGCAGCCCCGACCGGCCCCTCCGCTGCCGATGCCGATGCCGAGGTGGCCGAGCGCGTCCTCTCGCGCGCCAGTGCCAGCTTTGCTGCGGCCGCGCGACTGCTGCCGTGGGATCTGCGGCGCGACCTGGCGAGCCTGTATGCGCTTTGCCGTGCCGCCGACGACGCCATCGACGAGGCACCGCTCTCTGCAGCCGAGCAGCGCGCGCGTCTCGAGCTCCTGCACGCCGTCGGCGCGGCTGCGTTCTGCCAGGACGAGGCGCAGAGCGACGAGGCGGCACGCGCTGCCGTGCGCTCCGCCACGCAGGCATACGCCGCCGCCAAGGGCTCGCTCGGCGCGCAGGGCCTCGAGGAGCTGCGCGCGTGCGCGTGCGCCTGCATCCCGCTGCGCCGCCTCGTGCCGCTGGCGCTCTGGCAAGAGCTGCTGCGCGGCTACGCCATCGACGTGGCCCTCGGCGGCGCTGGCGGGCGCGTGTTCACGCAGCCACAAGAGCTGCTCGACTACGCCCAGTGCGTCGCTGGCGTCGTGGGCGAGATGTGCGTGCGCGTCGTGCTCGGCCGCTCTGGCGCGCCGGTGCCGCGCTCGCTGGCGGTGAGCCGCGACGTCGACGCTGCGCCGCCACGGGAAGCGCTGGCGCTGCTGCTGTGGCAGGCGCGCCGCATGGGTGTCGCGCTGCAGCTCGTCAATGTCGCGCGCGACGTCGTGGGCGACGCGCGCACCTTGCGGCGCTGCTACCTCGTCTTCGAGCGGCCCGAGGACGCCTGGATGGCGCCAGCGCTGGCCGCCGGGCAGCTCGGCGACGGCACGCCAAGTAGCAAGGGCCCCACTGCGGCGCAGCTGCGGCCACACGTCCTAGCGCTCCTGCAGCGTGCCGAGGGCCTCTTTGCCAGTGCCGCACCGGCGCTCGACGACGTGCCCTCGCGGCCTGCGCGAGCCGGCCTGCGTGCCGCCTGCGCCGTGTACTTCGACATTGCCCAGGTCATCCGGCATCAGCCACGCGAGGCCTGGGAGCGTGGCGACCGGGCAGTGGTGCCCAAGTGGCGGCGCGCCGTCGTGGCGCTGCGTGCCGTGTATGCTTGACTGGAATGCTCATACCTGCTGTGCCGCTCTCTGCCGATGTAGGCTAGACTCTTTGGCTGTCGATGCTGTATGTCATTTCTGCTTGTCCAGATCGTCGGGCCCGAAGCTGAGCGGCAGCAGCTGCTCGAGCGTGCGCACCTCGACCTTGTCGCCCTCCTTCCAGCCCGCGAGAGGCATGTAGATGGGCGTGGAGAGCGCCACAAACTCGCGCAGAAACTGCCGGCAGATGCCGCACGGCGGACATGGCGATGCTACGATGTCGGACGCCACACCCACGGCGACAATGCGCGCAGGCGTCGCTGCCGAGACGCGCCAGCTGCACAGCGCAGTGCGCTCGGCGCAGATGCCGGCGCCTGGGAAGCGTCAGCATGGAACTCTGACTGGAGCGCAGCGCTGCTTTTCTTCATGGCCGAGCAGCGGGTGCGGCCCAAGGCGGCGCCCACAGGGAGTGGAGAGGCGACGACGCGGCGCCAGCAGCCCTGTCCCCTCTCAGCCGCCGCGCATCGCAGCGCCAGTGCTGCCCTCAACGCTGCCGACGACGCACCGTACGAGGCATTCTCGACATTGGCGCCCGGCACGAGGCTGCCATCGTCGAGCAGCAGTGCCGCGCCGACGCGGAACTTGGAGTAGGGCGCGTAGGCGCGCTCGCGGGCGTCGAGGGCCGCACGCACGAGGCGCACCTCGTCTGCGAGGGCGAGCGACATGGCGCGAGACGTTGCGGGAAGGGAGGTGAGGGTTGCGAGGCAGACTCGGCACACGACAGCGCCCGGCGAGGCGCCCCCTGATGCCACGGAGGCGCGGCTGCTCCCGTGCGGGAGCGTGGCGCCGCGCACGGGCGCTCGCCATGCGCGCGCGCCCCGCGCCGACACGCCGCGCCTGCCGTGCTTGGCCTGCTTCCACATCCTCCCGCGCAACAGCTGCCACTCCGACTGCACGCCTCGCTCGCCGCCGCCGAGCAGCATGGCCTTTCCCGTGCGCTCCTACTCGCACGAGTCCGCCGGCTCGGCCTCGGCGGCGGGCGCGGCGGCGGCCGGCGCGCCTGTCGACGATCCGCATCTCGGCGCCTGGCGCTCGCGCACGCTGCTCTTTCTCTCCTACCGCTCATCAGCACCGCGGCGCACGAGCAACGCCTTTGCCTCCTCGTCGCGCTCCTCCTTCGAGTCGCCGCTGCTGGGCGCAGACCTCGAGGCACAGGGCGCGCCGCAGCGTCCGCGGCGGCCCGGCACGTACTACGATGCCTCGGGCGCCCTCGCCTCCTACCCGCCCGCCGCGGCCGAGGCGCTGCCGCCGCGCTGGGTAGACACGAGCGATGCCGTAGAGGCACTGCTGCACGGCATTGGGCCGAAGATGGAACGCCTCGAGCGCATGCATGCCAAGCATCTGCTGCCGGGCTTCGTCGACCGCCGCGCCGAGGAGCGCGCCATCGAGACGCTCACGCAGGAGATCACAAAGGTGCGCCTGACCAGCCGCTTCGGCGCCATCCTCCTGCTGACATGGGCATCACAGGATCTGCGCAAGGCTACGTCGCAGATCCGGCAGCTGGCCAATGCGACTGCGGCCAACGCAGCCGCGTCTGAAGCGGCGCTGGCACGCAACGTGCAAACGGCGCTCGCGACGCGCGTCCAGACGCTCAGCGCCGCGTTCAGGAAGCGGCAGGCCGACTACATGCGCCGCATGCGCGGCATCGAGGCGCGCGGCAAGGAGTGGACTGCCGGCTCAGGCAGTGGCAAGGGCGCAGAGGAGCGAGAAGCGCTGCGGGAAGACGTTGAGTTGGTGAGTGCTGCCGCGGGTGTGCAGCGCTGCGCCTCATGCCGGCAGCTCTGTGAGGCGTACGTCTGATCATCCTCGTCGCGCCTCAGTCACGGGCGCAGCTGTCCAAGAGCAGCTCGCAGAGCCAGCTGCTGCTGCAAGAAGAGGCGCCGCAGACGCAGGCCGAGCTGGACCTGGCCGCGCGCGACCGCGAGATCGACCAGATTGCACGCTCCATCGCCGAGCTGGCCGAGCTCTTCCAGGATCTGTCGGCCCTCGTCATTGACCAGGGCACGATGCTGGATCGCATCGACTACAACATCGACAGCATGAGCCGCGACATGCAGGAGAGTGTGCGCGAGCTCAACACTGCCACAACGTGAGTGCGGCGTGCCGCGAGAGGGCACTTTCTGCTCTGCCGCTGCGACTGCTAATGTCGCTCTCTCGCTCACGCAGCTACCAAGCCCGCACATCGCGCGGGCAGTGCATCCTGCTGCTCGTGCTGCTGCTCATGCTCGCGCTCGCGCTGCTCATCATCAAGCCGTTCTGGCGCGCCTTCTCGTCGCCGGCGCCACTGCCGCCACAGAGCAGCGCCAGTCCGTTTGGGCCATGATACTGCAACGCTGCTGTCACCGGACTCGTGTGCGTCTGTGTCAAGGTGTCAAGCGCTCTGGCATTGCTACTTGTCCTTGTCCTTCTTGCCGAAGCCGAATCGGCCCAGCGTGCTGCGGCGCTTCACGTGGCCCTCAGTCTGGGCAGGCGTGAAGCTCGAGGGCAGGGCAGGTGCCGATGGCGCGGCAGTCATGCCCATGGGCAGCGCCGTGCCGTGCGTCGAGTGCACGCTGGAGCGCCGGCTCTCCTTGGCGATGCGTTGCTGCTCCTTCTTGGAAAGCGGCCGGTCGGCTGGCGCAAAGGCGGCACCCTGCGACACCAACGGCGATGCGGGTACGGCGCCACCGCTGGCAGACGCCTTCATTGGCGATGGCGACGGCGTGCTGGCTGTTGGCGCAGCGGCCGGCTTCGAGGGCGTTGTCGGGGCAGCGCCGCGGGCCACGCTGTCAAGGCTGACGCCGGGCACCTCGCTCATCGGCGAGACGAGCGTCTGGTCCGGTGCTGACGGCGCCTGCAGTGACGCGGCGGCGGGCACGGCCGGCGTGTAGTCGCCAAACGTGACGGGCTCCTCGACGAGCGTGGCAGGCAGCTGCGTGCTGCGCGGCCCGGGCGACGCTGAGCTCGTGCGCGAGATGCCGGCGGCATTGGGCAGCCCAAGGCCCACCGTGCCGTCTGAGCGGCCCCGCGCCACCAGGGCGGCGGCTGCCGAGCCCGTCGACGAAGTACGCATCGAGGCGGCATCGTCTTGCTGCTCGAAGCCCAGGCCCGCGTTCGTGGAGACGACTGGCGGGCGGAAGGAGCTAGGCGGCGGCGGCAGCGTCATCGAGTTGGAGAGCGCGTCCGCCGGCGTGTTCGGCGCGCTCGCGCCCATGCTGCTGTTCGTCGCGCGCCGCTCGCGCCCGCCGCTGCGCAGACTGCTGAGCCAGCCGCCGCCGTTGGCTCCGCCGGCGCCGCTCTGAGATGCGGGCGTCTGCGCGCCCGACGGCAGATCTGTCTCGGCGCCGCTGGCCTGTCTGCGCGCGAAGAAGCCAGCGGGTGTCGCGGCAGCGCTGCCCGCGGGTGTCGCGGCTCCCGATCCAGCGTGGGAGCCGCCAGCCAGCGGCGTGGCATAGCTGCCGGCCGACGCCGTGCCAGCTGCTGCGCCGGACATGCCCTGCGCCATGAAGGCGCGCGGCGGCGGCGGCGGTGCCCATGCCAGCGGCGCGTGAGGGGGCAGGCCGAGGCCCTCGAAGTCCAGATCACGCGCCTGATAGAACAGGACGTACGCAGAGCCCGTGCCGGGCGTGTCGCCGTAGTAGCGCACAATGTCGGCCTCCTCGATGAAGGTGATGGTCTCGTCGTCAAAGACGCACCAGCGCCGGCCGACCTTGATGATGGCGACGTAATGGCCGTGGTGCGGGCCAGTGCCGACGTGCACCACGATGGCAAAGAGGTCGTACAGTCGATCCGGGTCGGGCGCGTCGTCGGACGTGTTGAAGAGCCGCAGCGAGAACGGAAAGACGACGCGGTACGTCAATTTCACGTACTGCGGGTGGGTCATAGTCAGCACGGAGACCCAAGCCACGTGTCGAAACGCGCACGCACCTTTTGCAGCTGCTCCTCATACTTGAAGCGCTTGAGGTGCAGCGCCAGCACATTGGGCAGCTGCTTGACCTTCATGCGCTTCTCTGCCTCTTGCAGGCCCGAGCACGTGTCGCAGAAGAACTTGTTGCGCGAGCAGAGCATCTCGCTGGCGCTGAACTGCTTCAGGCACGATGTCACCGACGAGTTGCGCTCAATGTCGATGGAGAGATCGAGAAAGGCCTCGTCGCGCGACGTGATCTGAGCGTGGGACAGTCAGCGCAGTGCAGCGGGCCTAGCTCGTGAGAGTCACTCACAGTCTCGCATGTCAGACACCGCGTCTCGTTCGTCAGGATGCCCTCGAACAGACGATGCACGCATGTCTGGCCGCCAGCCACCTCCTTGACGCTGCGGCGGTGCACAGGCTGCACCGGCAACGGCGGCATGTCGCCGTCCTCCACCGTCGGCGCGTGATCGCTGGCCGCGCTGCCGCGCCGCGTGTCGTCCTCTTCCCGCGGCATGGCGACAATGTCCTCGCCGACGCGGTTGAGGATGAAGTTGAGGAACTCGTGCGCATCCTGGTGCAAGTTGCTGTCGAACAGCAGGTTCTCGCGCTTCAGAGCATTCAGAAAGCCGCGCAGTGCGCGCGTATTGACCGTGCCAGCCGCCTCGCCGCCGCCGATGGCCAGGCCGTTCACAGGCGTGGCTGGCGCAGCTTGCGAGGCAGGCGTGGCGCCTCCTGCTGCAGCTGCCGCGGCAAGCACGGCGTTGCCAAGACCGCCGCGACCAGCGCTCGGCGCCGGACGCGACGAGCCCTTGCGGCCCAGGCTCGTTGAGCCGGACGATGCCGACGCGCCAGGCGCTGCAGAGCCAGCGGCCGGAGCGATGGCAGCGGGCGGCAGCTGTGGCGGCTCCGTTGCGATGAGGTGGAAGAGATCACGCAGCGTCGCAAAGAGCGACGCCGTGTCGTCCAGCGGGCTGTCATCAGCGGCTGCGCCGTTGGCATGTGCGCGCTCCGCCTCGCCGCTGCCTCGCGAGGAGGATGTCTCGCGCGAAGCAGCCGCGCCCAGCGCCTCTGCCTCGTGGCTCGTCGCTGGCCGGGCGCGCGCAGACGGCAGCGCCTTGCCCTTGCCGAAGCCCCACGTGGCGCTGCTCTTGCGCTTGTGGCTGGCGGAATCGGCCTTCTCGGTGTCTGCCGTGCCTGGCCGTTGCTGCAGCGCGGCATGTCCAGTGGATGGCCGATGCGCAGCAACGCCGTTGAGCGCCGGCGCCGCGCGGCCTGCTGTCGCCATCTTTGCGCTCGGCGACGAGGGCGGCGAGATGGTGACGGCGTCGGAGCTGAGGCGCGGATGGCCGGACTCGGCCGCGCTCTCGCCCGAAGCTGATGGCGGCACGTACGCCAGCATCGAGTCTCGGAAGGGCTTGCAGAAGTAGAGCGCCTGCAGGACAGAGTTGGCGTAGCTGCAGCAGAGGATCAGCGATTGAGCGTCCGCGGCAGGCTGGCACGTCGCAGCACTCACCAAGTGTTGCCGAACTACAGGACCAGGGCTCGTCAGCTTTGCTCCGCCTGCGGCGCACGCATCCCACAGCCACTCACGTTGACCATGCCGAGCAGGCGGCTCTCCTCGCTGGCCTCCTCCCAGCTGCTGGCCAGCGCCGCATCCATGCTGGCGGCGCCGTGCGTGCCGAGGGCGCCCGCGTGTGCGGCGGCGAGCATGGCTGCGCTGCCGGCGAGGCCGCCGGTGGGCATGCCGCCGGGCCCCAGGGCGCCGCTGCTGCCGGGCGCGGCGCCGCCGCTGCCCGAGGCGCCGAGCAGCGACTTCCACGAGAAGGACATGCTGCGGCGGCGCGAGCACGCAGAAGGGCGCGGCGGCTAGGATGTGCGTGCGGAGCGAAGGCCGTGCGATGCGCAGCGAGGAGGCAGCAGTGCGGTGGCAGCAGGTGGAGCAGCAGAGAGGCGGATGCGGCGCACGACAGCGAGAGCCGGCGCGTGGGCGAGAGCTGCGTGCAGGAGCTGCGAGGGGCGTGCAGCGAGCAGCAGCTGCGAGACGATGCACGGCAGGCGACGGAGGTGCAGGCAGCGACGAGAGTGAGCAGCAGCAGCGACGGCGGAGCAGAGGGACAGGGACGGGGTCGCGAAGGCAGGAAGCAAGAGCGAAGGTGCCCAGCACCAGCGGCAGCAGGTGGCAGCAGCTCGGCGGCCTTCGGGGCGCGGCGCGGCGGCGGCGCGCGCGCGGGGGGCGAGAGTGCCGAGAGGCGAGACGCTGGCGGCCTGCGGCCCTGCTCTGCCTGCACGCTGCACCTCCAGCAGCACCGTCATCAGATGGCAGCGCACCGCCGCCCCGGCGCCGCACGGGTGCAGCTGCAGCTGCAGGCGCATGATGGCAGCGACTCGTCTTCGCGGCGCAGCGCGGGCGGCTCACAGCACAGCACAGCAGCCGCAGCAGACAGCACTCGCACTCGATGCGAGCGTGCCCTCTCTCTGTGCCTGATGCCGCTGCGCTCATGCTGTCGCGCACTGCCGCTGCTGCCGGCGCCGTACGAGAGCAGACGCACGCCGGCAGCACGATGAGCCCCTCGCTGCCTGATGCTCTGGGTGCTCCGCTGCGTGCCGTCGTCGACCCTGACAATGCTGTCCACCGGCCCTACCCCGCACGCAGCGGCCGGCGGTCGCCATCTCACCTCATGTTGCCCCTGAACGCGGCGGCGGAGCAGGCAGCTCGTCGGCGTCTCGCATGTCGTCAGATGGCTGGGGCTGCGCGGCGCAGCATCAGCCGCAGCACACAGCAGGCGCGGAGCAAGCCTCGACGCCCCAACGCATCCGCCGCGGCGGCGCAGGCGACTCAAAGGGCCGCAGCAGCCAGCGCATCGGCTTGCTGCTCAGCTGTGGGGTGTGCTGAGCCCACGCACTGCTGCGAGTCTGCGCTGCTGCGTCTCGTCATGCGCTGCAGGATGAGCATCGTCCGCAGCAGCGAGCGATGGCGCCTGAGCCAGGAACGGCGCTGATGCTCTGCTGCCGGCGTGCTCCGGCCGCGCGGTGCGCTCTCGGCGCTCGGTGCGGTGCCCGACGGCGCGCCGAGCCCGCGGGTCCGTCTGCCGGAGCGCGCCGCGGGCGCGCCAAGGCTCCCTCTGCGCAGCTGCTTCTTCCGTCCGCACCTGCACCAGGTGCAACGCTGGCTGAAGCTGCGCAGATCGAGCTCGAGCTGGCGTGAGGGGGTTTTGCTGCGGCGTTGCTCGGCCTGAGCGGCTGCAGCGCCGGACTGACGCTGCGAGATCGCTGGCGAGTGCGGGGATGGGGCAGGGTCATCCGTGCCCGCAAATAGCCACGCGGCGCGCGATCCAGGGCCGCCGAGGGGGGGAGAAGTGGGGCATCAGAGATTCCCGAAGCGCGCCGGCGCAGGCTCTCCACATCATGCTCTTCTCGCTCTGCCATCGGGTGAGAGCGCATATGTCATGGACGATGCCGACGGCATGCTGTGCTCGGCACGTCGGCAGACGCAGCCTGCGGCGTAGTCTGTGCACTTCAGACTCGCGTGACTGCGCGCGCTTCCGCACCATCCTCTTCCTCGGGCTGAGCCGCGGCGCCACGCGCCGACCAAGGAGAGAAGCGAGCAGCATCCACGCGCCGCCCAGCTTGCTGTGATGCATCCATCGAGCAGCAGAGAGGCACCTCAGAAGCAGCGGTTCCTTCACGTCGTTGCACATCTTCCTCCTCATCGGGCCGCACAATCCGCCGACGGTCGCAGAGCTAAAGCCAAGCCTGTCGTATTCACCGCTGGCTCTGCGCCCCTTCGTCCGGCCAGCCCATGCCCTCGCAGATGCGCTGTGCCAGGGCGCGCTTCATGAACTGCTCGCGCGCCAGGAAGCGCGTCAGCTTCAGGAAGCGCTCCAGGCTCAGCTGTTCGGCGTTGAGCGCGCGGCCGAGGTGGTAGAGCGTGTCCTCGATGGCGTTGTCTTCTGCCACGAGGTCCAGCAGCCTGCGGCGAGGCACGGACAATGTCAGTCACGCGCCGCCGCTACTAGGTCAAGGTCCAATACTCACTGGTTGCCGACGATCGACGTGGCGCAGATCAGCTCGTCGGCGCTGGGCGAGGGCCGCTCGTTGAGCTCGCGGATGCGCGCCTGCACTTCGTCGACACTGCGCTGCAAGCCATCGCCCGTGGCGCGACAGACGTCGCGCACCGCCTCGAGGCGTGCCATCTCATCCAGCACTGCCGGCGCGCCACGGTCCAGATCTGCAACGACGCGCCGCATCTGCTCGTTGCGCTCGTGGCCCGCCGAGAGCGTCGAGTGCAGGTATGCCGAGAGCTTGGCCTGCAGCTGCGTCTGCAGCGAGAGCAGCTCGGGGTTCGGCGGCCGCGGCGGCGCAGGTCCGGATGGCGGAGGCGCAGGCGGCGGCGCAGACTGCGATGCTGGCGGCGGCTGAGGCCGTGACGGCGGCTGATGCGCGTGAGGGTGCTGCGGTGATTGCGCTGGATGCTGCGCGCCGTTCACGCCGGCGTGCCAGGAGCCGCGGTGCTCAGGCATAGGCCCTGACTGGCCGGCCCACTGTGTGCGTGCGTCGTAGGAGAGGGGTCGCTGCGGTGTCTCGTGCGGCTGCGGCGGGCCCCAGTGCCCTTGTTGCGAAAGCGGGCTGAGAGGGCCAGCGCTCGGCGTGCCCATACTGCTGCTGCGCGACGGCCCGTCGAAGCTGGAGCCGGGCTTCGGTGGCCGGACAGGTGGGCCTGCAGCCTGCCTAGGATCACCTGATACGCCCAGTGGCGGCGGTGGCCGCTGGCGAGGATCTGTCGGCGCCTGAGGAGACCGCGGAGCGGGCGACACCGAAGGGCTGGCAGGTGCGACGCGCGCGGGCGAGGCAGAGCCCGAAGGCGTGGCCGGCTGTGCCGGCTTGGCATACACTGGCGGCATCTGCGAAAAGAGCTCTTGCAGCGACTGGGTGAGCGCAACGAGGTTGCATGACTGAGGCACGGGCATTAGCACTGCTGTACTTGACGCTTGCCAGCGAGGGCACTGGCGTGCGCGTTTGGCGGATCTAGCGGGCCTCGGCGGCCAGGCGGCTGTGCAGCCAATGCCCGAGCAATGCAGAGAGCGCGATTGCGACATGCTAGCCCACCTGATTACCCCGCATCCGCCTCTGCTGCCCGGCCCCTCGGAGAACAGCCGCCGCGCGGGCCCGCTTGCACGCGCCGCACTCACCTCCCACTTGCGCTCCCACTGCTTCAGATACACGCCCTTGACACGGCCGCTAAGCTCAACGTCGGGTCCGGGGCGCACGAGCATGGCGCTCGTCGGCTCGACGAAGACCATGGGCGGCTCGCGCGGGTAGGCGCGCGGCAGCCACACGGCGACGGGAATGTGGTAGGTGGCGCCGCGGAAGGCGACGGGCAGCGTGCCGCGCAGCTGCAGCAGCAGCGCCGAGTGGCCCGTGTCGTGGGTGAAGACGTCGGTGCGCGGCGCGAGCGAGGAGAGATGCAGCAGCACGGCATCGACGTCGACGAAGACGCGCTCGGCGGAGGGATACTGCGGGCGGCGCGAGTCAGCGGGGCGCCGGCGGCGGAGCGCGCGCGCACACGCACGACGGCGAGCACGTCGCGCAGCCACTTGCGCACGACGGCGTGGTCCATGGCCGGCGTGGCGCGGGTGCGGCGCGAGGCAGGCGCTGGTGCGGGCGGCGAGGCGGACGCTGGACGTCGAGAGAGAGAGGAGCGCCGCGGCCGCAGCGTGGCTCATGCGCGCGCGCGCCGGCCGGGCCTGGCAGTGCGCCCTTGAAGTTGGTCGGCCAAGCTCGGGGTCCGCGCAGCTTTGTATCGCGACTACAGCAGATTACACGTGAATTTGAAAGCACCCTCGCGCTTTCACTTTGCGCCTGTCTCGTGTTGCTCCCTGCCTCCACTCTCTCACCCACCCAACCCACCTCGCCGCTGCGCCATGAGCTCGTCGCTGCTGCTGCCCACGCGCGTGCGCGAGCCGGCATACGTGGCCATCACCTGCCCGTACCCGCAGTGCCGCGCCTCGCTCGAGTATCTGCCGCCCGCGCCCGCGCAGCTCGCCGCGCTGCCCGCCGCCGAGACGACGTTCAAGGCCACCTGTGCCACCTGCGCACAGCGCTTCGAGCCGCCGGGCGCCGCGCGCGTGCTGCGCGAGGCGCGCGCGGCGGGCGGCGGCGCCGGCGCCGCGGGCAAGCAGCTCAAGAACAAGCGCCGCATCGGCACCGACGAGCGGCCGCTCGACACCGAGTAGTGAGTGGTGTGCAGAGGCGCAGCGGCCGTGGCGTCGCGAAGCTGAGGGGATGAACGGGCGCATCGAGGCCCATGCATCGCTGTTGCTGTGGCGGCAGTCCCTGTAGCGTGCTTGGGCTGCGCGGCGTGTCTACACCTGCCAGGCGATGGACCTCACATGAAGGATGTCGCGTGACTTAGCGCCTCAGGCGCCACGTCGACGGAAGCTGACCGGCGAGCTGTACAGCTACGACATCCTGGGCCTGCCGCCATCGTGCACGCCCGACGAGATCAAGAAGGCGTACCGCAAGCTGGCGATCAAGCTGCATCCCGGTAAGTGTGCCGAACCTGACCGCTTGACGCTCCCGCTGACATGCGGTGCAGACAAGAACCCCAACGATCCCGAGGGCGAAGAGCGCTTCAAGCGCCTCGCAACAGCATACTCTGTGCTCTCGGATCCGGAGCTGCGGCATAAGTAGTGCGTGCTGCTGCTGGCGCGAGTTTGCACTGTGGACGCTGACCCTCGCGCAGCAACGAGTTTGGCATCTCGACACCCGGCCTGGTGCCGGAGGACGGCTTCGTCGACCCGGAAGAGGTGTTTGGCTCGCTCTTCGGCGGCGCACGCTTCAACGATATCGTGAGGCCCGCGGCGCTACCTTGCGTAGCCAATCGCTGACTTTTGCCGCAGATCGGCACCATCTCGATTGGCCGGGACATGAAGGAAGCTCTGCAGCAGGACTCGGAGGAGCTGGAGAAGCAGGCCAGCGAGGGCGAGGCAGGCGCCGCCAACGGCGCCGCCATCGAGGGCGCGGGGAAGAAGGAGGAGCTTTCGCCCGAGGCCAAGGCGGCAAAGGAGGCAAAGGAGAAGGCGCGCGACGAGGAGCGGGCCAAGCAGCGCGAGGAGCGCGTGCGCAAGCTGGCCGAGACGCTCATCCGCAAGCTCAGTGTCTTCACCGAGAGCGTGCGCAATGCGCAGGACGAGCAGCTGGAGCGCCAGATTGCCGACAGCTTCAAGGAGATCACGCGCATCGAGGCCGAAGAGCTCAAGACGGAGAGGTGCGTCGCGCTCGAAGGCGTGGCCGACACGCGAGCTGACAGGTTCCCGCCAGCTACGGCGTCGAGTTGCTGCACGCTGGTGAGCGACTTTCCGTCGCGAACAGCTCCACTGTATGCTGACGCGTCTTGATGCAGTCGGCTTCATCTACTCGGGCAAGGCCAAGCACTACCTGGCGTCGACGGGCATGCTGTGGGGCATCGGCGGGCTGTACCATTCGGCCTCGTCGCAGATGCACATTCTCCGCGAGACGGTCACGACGGTGCGCGCGGCGCTGGAGCTCAAGAGCGTGTTTGAGGAGCTGGCCAAGGCCGAGGAGAGCGGCCTGAGCGAGGAGCGCCGCAAGGAGCTCGAGGACCAGGCGGCGAGCAAGGGGTGAGTTCCTCTCTCGAGAGAGAGTCTGCGAGCTCTCCTCATCATGGGCTGCTGCTGACGATGTGTGCTCCCAGCATGCGGGCGCTGTTCAAGGGCGCCAAGCTGGAGGTCGAGTCGGTGGTGCGCGAGGTGTGCGACTCTGTGCTCTTCGACCAGACTGTGCGTGCTGTCCTCGTGCCTGCGAACCCGCCTGCTGACTCGGTTCTGCAGGTCTCCAAGAGCACTCAGCGCCTGCGCGCCACGGCGCTCGGCATCGTCGGCTCCGTGTACTGCGCCGTGGAGGCCAACGCAGAGGACAAGGACGCCGAGTATGTGCGCATCGATACGAAGCAGCAGGAGCAGGAGAAGCGGTAGATGGGCGCCGCCGCCGTCGCCGACACACAGTGCGATCGGAGAGAGATCATCGCATTGGCTACCGCTCGCCGGCGGGTGGCTCGGCTTCGGCCACAGCTTCAGCGATGCTCGTCTCCTCCGGCACATCTTCTCTCTCCTCCTCGATACCCAGCAGCAGGCGGATCTCAGCCGCGCTCCTCTTCATCACGCCCGCCGGATACGCGCTCGTCGGCAGGCGGATCTCCTCCTCGATGCGCGCATACGCACGCGCCAGGCGCCGCAGCGAGCCGGCGTGCACGACGGCGCGCAGCGAGGGCGCCGAGAGCAGCGCGAGGCGCGCCGGCGCAATGAGCTGCGGCGAGCCAAGGAACGCCTCGAGCTTGGCCAGCTGCTTTGCCAGTGCATCGGGCGTGGCACCGGCCTGTTGCGCAAGCGCAATCTGCAATAGAGAGACGCGTGAGATGATGGGCTTGCGATGTAGGCGCGGCATGATGCTTACCCCTGGCGGCCGATTTTCGATTGCGTCGAGAATGGAGGCGAGGCCGCTCTCGCCGAGAAGGTGCACATACTGGCTCTCGGTCATGTGTAGGATCTGCTCGGCAATGTCCTTCTCCACGTCCCTGACGGTCTGCTCGGCAAACGCATACGGCGAGAGGACGGCCTGCCACGGCCAGTCCAGTGAGCTGCCACGTCCGTGTTTGCGCCGTGAGCAAGGCACATACCTTGAGATGCGACAGGCAGTTGGTGAGGAAGAGGGAGGCCTCCCATGCGCCTGCCTCCTTTGCCTTTGCGCCGCGCTTCTTGACATGCGCCTCGGCCATGCGGCGACAGAGCGCCAGCAGGGGATCGACGATGCGGCCGAGCACGTTTGCCAGATTGGGGCCGCCGCTGCTGCTCGTCGCCGCACTTGCCTCGCTGCCGGGGAAGAGGTCCTGCTCGGAGAGGGAAGACTGGTGCACGGCGAGCAGCTCCTTGAGCGTGCTGCACGCGCCGAGCAGCGGCGGCGGCGCATCCAGCGACGCCGACGGCGGCTCCGAGATGCGCTCGAGGCCCGCGGCAAGACGATCGAGCGTGCGCAGAAAGGCCTCGTAGGATGTCTGGCTGATTCTGTGGGCGGCAGAGGAGAGAGAGAGAGAGAGAGAGAGAGAGAGAGAGAGAGAGAGAGAGAGAGAGAGAGAGAGAGAGAGAGAGAGAGAGAGAGAGAGAGAGAGAGTCTCAGTCGCCAAAGCTGCAGGAGAAAGACGCGCGACGAGGCCCCCGCAACACGCACTCGGCAAGGATGCGGCTCAGACTCGCTTTCGAGCCGACGGTGTGGTCCATCGTGACGCGGTAGAAGTGCACCAGGCTGGCCAGATGGAACGTGGTGATGCATCCCTCTTGCGAGTTGACTGTTTGCTCGATGCGCAGCTG